AGCGCGTATTACTTGTTTTATCCATGAAATTTACTAATTTTTTGTGTGTTATTGTGAAGTATTTAATGACCGAGGTAGAGTAATTATGGACATTAGTTTGCATGAAGGACTTAGGATGCGATTTTATTCGTATTAATCACCATTTAGTGGGGAATTTTAAATGGAACAGATTCTTAGGCAGGAAAGCGAGGAAAAGGCCTTAAACGAACGGAATTTTTAAAAGTGATTCAAGAGTCTTGCTGCACACTAACACAAATATATCTCTGTAACGTTTCGTCTGACCAAGGTTAGAGTTCTTCAGACATACATAGTTCAACCAGAACAAGAAAGGCAGTTACATGCATATTTAAACAATCAGTGTGAAAGTATGGATGTTACACATGTTAATAATGATTAGGGATTTTCAAATGTGCTGTTTTCATCTTCTTTCCGAGCAAGCGTCTTGACGGGCAGGAACTTATCACTTAGAAATTTCTTTTGACAGACTTTTGGCACTTCAAATGCAATCAATCTTAACCGCTCGGGACGTACACTTTGGGAACCGCTGTGATGTATAATTATTAATTGGTGATTTCCAACTACCCCTGCACTATATCGTTATCTTTTCTCTCCTTGTTGAACCATATAAGTAAATTGCAAAATGCTCTTATACACCACAGTTAATCGCATTAAGTTAGTATTAAACGATATTACAGATAAACTAATACGTAATAATATATGGTAAATCAATTTATCGAGTGTTGAAAGACAGCGCGTACTGTTGTGTTATATTCTGAGCTACAGAACAAAACATATGAGTTGTAGTAATGCATATGGTTCAGTGCAGAGGCGCAGCCATGAATTTTCAAATGGAGGGCAAGGAGTCTAAAATTTCAAATTGACAATTTACACCGTATCCGGTTTTAATGTCAGCGCGTATAGTGTTGTGTTGCATTCTGAGCGACCGGACAAAATATATATGTGAGTTGTAGTAATGCATATGGTTGAGTGCAGAGACGTAGGCGGGAATTTTCGAGATGGGGGGGGGGGGGGGGGGTTGGGTCTAATTTCCAAGCTAGCGGGACCGTATTTTCCGGGTTTAATGTCAGCGCGTAGTGTTGTTTTGTATTCGCAGCGATTGGACAAAATTATGAGTTCCAATGCATATGATTCAGGGAAGTTGGCATAATCAGGAATTTTCAAAGAGAGGAAGAAGGTCTGAAATTTCTAATTTGCCAAGTTATACTGTGTTAGCAGCAAGTCCGGTTTTTAATGACAGCGCTCAGTGGCGTAACCAAGAATTTTTAAGGGAGTTTCTAATTAAGTTTCTAATTGCCAAGTTAGACAATATAAGCTAGCAGGACCGGATTTCCGGTTTAAATGTAGTGTTGTGTTGCAGTCTGAGCGACCGGACAGTTCATATGAGTTGTAATGCATATGGTTCAGTGCATATGGTTTCTAATTAAGTTTCTAATTGCCAAATTAGCTAGCGCAGGGTGGTCCAAACCCAGGCCCGCGGGCCACATGTGGCCCGCCTCTTCATTATCTGTGGCCCGCGTCACATTCGGAGAGTAATCAAAAAATCGCATTTTGTGTTGTTTCGTAATAAAATTAATCAGAAAAATCTTTTGACATTTTGTTGCATCACTAATTGTCACAGAATTGACTAGTTTTATAGCTAGCTGAGGTGACTAGCGAAGCCCAAATGAAGTGCTTGGCAGTCTAAATTATTATCTGGCTTTCCATCTTTTGGTCGGGAATATATACTAACAATATAGGCATCATAGAAAACTAAAAATCGAATATGGATTATATTAGCCTTGGATGGCTATGTCTGATAACTATGTGTTTGCGCAATAAAAGTGTTTGTTTTGTATTGCACTGTTTACCTATTCTTGGCACTATTATGGCCCGCGAACAATGCAAAAATAAATTTGAGGCCCGCGGAGTCAACAACCTTGGACCACCCAGAGCTAGCGGGTTCGGTTTTCAAAACGTGGGTTGTTAAGATTCTTGAGTGTCTTCCTCCCTTTAACCGCCCTATTTTAGTTGGACAAACACGAAAACCTCGATAAAGAACGAAATATGCAACAGCGAGTGTTATGTTGCATTCAAGAACCACGCCATTTTGATTATTAATGAATAAAATATAATACGGAAGTGTTGATAATAGAATCAGAACGCAAAAGGAAAATTGGTGGAAATACAGCTCTGGAGTTTTTGTTTTTTTGAATAATTGTCAGTTTCAAAAAGACTAGAATAAACTCTCTTGTTTTTCCTGTGACTACTTCACTTTTTATATTTATATTTCTAACTTTATTTAAATTTTTTAGCCTCGTTAGATAGATAGTAATGTCATTAGATAAATCCTATACACATTGTATCTACGGACCTCATAAACCAAACGAAATTCCGGAAGATTATGATAAATATGATCGAAGTAAGGCGATTATGACAAGTTAGTTGATTCTAACGTTAACGACAACACTTTCTCAACAGTTTTAGGATAGGATTTACATATTTATGCCAGGGGAGAGAAAGCTGACGGCTTGATCATATGTCGGGTATAGGATTAGTTAGCCAGTTTAATGTTTCAGATGTATGGACTTGATGGCGAAGGAAGCCGTAACCGACCAGCGGTTACGTGAACCACCCAACGGCAGCGAGGAGTCCAGCAATCCTTTCGCACATACCTATCCCTGCGTGGGATTCGAACCAGCAATCCAACGCAAGGACGCGTAGCAGACAGGCAGGCTTTTCCTAACGCTTATGTATGAGGATTTTTCAATAAAAACACCTCGTGCACTCACATATGGGCGGAAATTTCAAGGATAAAGAAGTTGAGTGTTTATTATTTACCGTCGCGTCTGAGATTTGTATTTTTTCGCTAAATGCTCCTATAGTTATTGTAGTAATTTAAATTTCCATTACATAATTCAATAATTCATTCCATATTTTCCATTCCATAATTGCTATTGTTTTTTTTTAATTTCGAGCGCTGGCGGGAGGGGGTGTTATTTTTTTGGCGGAGACTTTGTACAAAAGATCCAAAAATTCAACGATTTGAAAATCACGCGAGCACACACACACACCCGTGATTTTTTGGCATATAAACATAACGGCGCTCAAGGTTTTAATAGGAAGCTAATCATTCGCCTTTTTTTTAGAATTCTTCAGCAATTGCGTAAAACATTGGACATCGAAACAGAAGAAGAATCGGAACAGCAGGAACAGGGAGATGTAACAGACGATACAGACGAATAAATTCTTCAAAAACGACCAAGGTGAGGTATTTTCCATTAATCTGGAGAAAATAAAATCGTCACGGACTGGTAACCAAACAAAAGATCGTTGACTGAACGATACTCCCGAAGTATGTGCACCAAGATGGCGGACACCGGAACGTAGTCATGTACCAGGTTGGGGTTAGCCCAATTTCCAATTTATTCCAATTTTCCTTATTTTAGTTCCATTACGAGTTCGGGGACTAGCCAAGTAACTACCGTAGTATTTGTACCTGAAATTATGGACTAACCCTAACATGGTACACATACTACGTTCCGGTGTTCCCCATCTTGATTCACATACTTCGGGAGTACCGACTAAACTGCCCTATAGGCCAGTGGTTCTTAAACTTTTTAAGCCGCGTCCCCTTTTTAGAATTTGTCAAGTCTCGCTCCCCACCGACAAAACAACTAGCTTACAATAAGCTAGGAATAACAGATAGTGAGGCGAAAGTATGTTTTATTCAAAAAAAGTGTTGAAAATACATGGATGGAATGTAAAAATAAAGAAATGTAAGGTGCTCCCGAAGTATGCGAACCAAGATCAAATCCAACAAATATTTTAAATTAGCGTCACGCCCCCTCAAAAAAATGTACACGCCCCGTTTGTGGGGCGCGCCCAACCGTTTGGGAACCACGGCTATAAGGCGTGTCTTCTCTCTCCATCATAATGCACCAGGATATTGGGTGTTCTTCTTTCTGTTCGAAAATAGGTTAAGTGATCTTGCATAAATAAACTGGTCGACTATTCCCATATCATGAACTATAGTAACCAAAGGAGAAATTGTTGTTACTTTAGTATTATTAGAATTATTAATTCATATTTTGCTTTGTGACGTGGCGTTTCAAACATTCACATCATAGATATATCACTACCAGCAGATGTTACGCGAGACTAACTTCCAATCTTTCCTCAATGCCATTGCGTTTGTGGATTCGTATTCGTATAATGCAAGAACGCTGTATAGCAGGAATAAATATGATCATAATATGCAATTCAAGAGTCCTGCTGCACACTACATGTGTTAGTGCGCTGCAGGACTCTTGAATTGCATAATAAATATATCAGATACTGATATATGCGTAAGAATATGCAAACTATGTAATAGAATGACAAAAATCTCTCAGGCTCGGCCTTCGACAACCTAATATATATGCTCTTGAAGAGGTGTTTCAGCCCGCGATGCAAAGTTAGTTAGGCCAAGCGCTCTAAAACAGTGGTTCCCAAACATTTAAATATCGAATTATGAAATGCTCAATTACCCCTTTCCTGAAAATACAGTAGTCATACCGTTGTCACTTTTTCTTTGACCAAAATGGCGATAATACTACCAGTTATTGCATCCTCCGATACGACTTCAAGATACTAAACTTGCAAAAGCTCAGAATTTTAGCCTCCCAGGTGGGCATGAAATGACAAATAAGGTTTGAATAAATAACAGATTGTTAACAAACAATATATAATGAATAAACACACCAAGTTTCATCGGATAATTAAGACTCTTGAAACTTTTTATCTGAAGAAGAATGATCTCGTTTCTGAGGCCTCGCTCGCGTCCCGAATAAATGGACTCGCGTGCCAACACTCCTGGCTACAACCTGTACGGCGAAGTATTGGTATTATGTTCCTACGAACTGCGCGACTACATGGCCAGGCGGCTCATTGACTAGACGCGATCATTCAATGTCCAGCTTTTCCGCATACAAGTCAAAAGTACCGAGATTGCAAAATGATTCGTTAAAACAGTGAACGTCTGGATTACCCAAAATTGCCCGTTTAGGGGTAATAAGCCCCAGTTTGGGAACCACTGCTCTAGAAGGAGCTGTCCATGGTAATATGCATGCTGGTGTGAAGGTTTTTGCTGATTATTTTGGAATGAGTGAAATAATGCCAACTTATTTTCTTCAGCGTACTTATCAAGGATGCCAGACACGGACAGATTATCAAAATTAATTCAAAGACGGAAAATACAAGAAAAGCAGAATGATCGTATTAGAGTTCACAAGAATAAACTTGAGAATATGAGACTCGAAAAATTATCGAACTTCTTTGACTGGAGCAAAAGTACGATTTATTATGAAGACGTTGTGAAACTAACAAGAATGCTGAGACTAGACAACGAATAACGTAGAATTTGTTTTATAATATTCGTATTAACATTTTTTATGGAAGAGTCGGCAGCACACCAAAGTGCAAATTTTCATTAGTTAAAGGTTTCCATATTTTTTCAAAGGTAGAGGAAAGTGGGATTAATGATACGACATAATCAAAGACTATAACGTTAAATAATATTTAATAATAATATTTGTTACATTGCGACACCACCAATTTTCAAGTATTCAAATTTATTTAGTATAATATTATTTCAAATTCACCAACAAGGAGATGGAAGCTGATATGGTATATTATTCATAGGCCGAACCACGGATTCTTGTTCGGTTATCAATTCAAGTCACACATGGAAATAGTCAACCACTTATTTGTCATTTCAAATTGTGCAAAATGGCTTTCTCTCTACGATATAAATATGAAATGGATATAAATATCTATTGCAACGCTATTCTCTTTTGTATCAGTGTTTTAGTAGACGTTTTCATACCTTTAATCTGAATAGGGCTTTGCACAATTTTCTACTGATTCGTCAAGGAATACCTTTTTTGAGGGGACCAGGATCATTTTTGTTCAACATTGTCAACCTAGTTTATTTTACCCTGGGTATACAGGGACGACGCATCAAACTGCTTAATTGATGCCAGCCTCAACCAATCAGTGTTATTGTTTATCTCCGCACGCTAATATGTAACATAATATATTAACATTTTTAGAATTGAAGTGCATAGTATTGCTAATTATTAACCTTTATCTAACATAGAGATTTACAAATATATCAAATTGGTAACTTAAAATATTACCTGATCCAAAGTTACTCATTTGTCATCTCATTAAGCTGTATTATAGTAATCAAATTAGTTCACCTTTGCCGAATCCACCTCCTAATCAATTTAAACTTTGTAAATATATTCAAAATTCGGCGCTCCAGAAGTGTATGTACCAATCTGGAGGTAACTAATTTTGTTCGCCTAATTTACATCAAGTTGTGTAAATAGACTGGAAACCTATGGGCAGGGGGTATATTCACTTTTTCAACACAGGCAGTTCTCGAACTCGTAATAGAACTAAAATAAGAGAAATCGGAATAAACCATGGCCTAACCCTAACCTGGTACACATACTACGGGAGTACCCAATATTTATTTACTTTAAAATTGTTTATTAGTGCATGACATTTTAGTTCGATAATCATAGCAGCTAAAGTTTGTCGCCTACTTATTAAACAGGTGTATTTCTTATGAAAATATTTAAAATTTTGACTGTTTTAAAAGTTATTTATTTGTCAATGTGCATTATATTTTAGATTTAATAATCATAATAATTTTCGTTTATTGGTTTGTTGGCTCTACCTCCCAACCGTGTGTATTTCTTGTACACATAAACATATCTATTCGCTAAACCAGTGGTCCCCTACCTTTTATGGCTCGTGGCCCCTTCGAGGCTTCCAGAACTCATGGTCCCCTGGTTATCCTTTCAGTCGTATTAATACTGTTATTTTGATTGGTAGATTACAAATCATATTATATTCAAACAATTCAGGCTCAATAAAGTGAAAACAAGAAGTGAAATAGCCTTATCAAGCTAAGTAACTAGGAAGAACTGGGAGTTTTCTTGTGAAGGGCAAAGTAGAATAATAAAAAAATAAAGGCAATTCAGTTTACGACATGGTAACCAGGCGAGAGACCGTGTTCGAAAAAAGATTAAACAGTCAGTCTTGCATTCTGTGTTACCCCAATAATAAATGAGGTCATAAAATAACCGCTGGTCGGTTACCGCTTCCACGACCTTCTATCTATCTGGAACAATTAATTGATTTAGAGTTAACTCTATACCAGATCTAAACTGGTAGCCAGATGAGAAGTCGTTATTCGCCGAATTATTCGATTTTGTCCTTGGATAAATATGTAGATTTCTTATCGTATTTTAATTAACACATATACTCTCTTTATATTACCTCTTTATTTGTTCTTAACTCTTTCACCTATCATTTCAGTGGTATTAATACTGTTATTTTGATTGGTAGATTCCAAATCACGTTATATTCAAACAATTCAAGCTCAATAAAGTGAAAACAAGAAGTGAAATAGCCTTATCAAGCTAAGTAACTAGGAAGAACTGGGAGTTTTCTTGTAAAAGGCAAAGTAAAATAATAAAAAAATAAAGGCAATTCAGTTTACGACATGGTAACCAGGCGAGAGACCGTGTTCGAAAAAAGATTAAACAGTCAGTCTTGCATTCTGTGTTACCCCAATAATAAATGAGGTCATAAAATAACCGCTGGTCGGTTATCGCTTCCACCACCTTCTATCTATCTGGAACAATTAATTGGTTTATAGTTAACTCTATACCAGATCTAAACTGGTAGCCAGATGAGAAGTCGTTATTTGCCGAATTATTCGATTTTGTCCTTGGATAAATATGTAGATTTCTTATCGTATTTTGATTAACACATATACTCTCTTTATATTACCTCTTTAATTGTTCTTGACTCGTTCACCTAATTTAACATCCATTTCGTTCGTTTTTTTCGTGTTAAATTTATTCGACTCGTATAATCTCTCTCCCCCCCCCCCTCTCCCTCTCTCTTTATATCTGTCTACCTCCACAATCGTTGTTTGTGTTTCAAATATAAGTCGTAACAATTTAATTTATTATGAATACAAAACATTTGTTTGTGGGTTTTATGTTTGAGTAGCGGTAGCATAACTCGAGTAATAATAGTTATCAGATAACATAACTCTGGACCTTTTTATGTCCAGAATTGAGGTACCGTAGTGTGCGAACCAGCTTAGGGTTAGGCCATAATTTTATTCCTATTTTCCTAATTTTAGTTCTATTACGAATCCGGGAACTGTCTGTTTCAGCCAAGTGAATATCCCCCTGCCCATAGGTTTCAGTCCCTTTACACAACTTGATGTTAAGCAGACGAACAAAATTAGTTATCTCCATATTGGTACGCACACTGGAGCGCGGAAATTGGAACTTCAAACATAATATATGATGGTTATTCGAAATTACGGACCAACAAAAACGTGTGAATCGGAATTGGCGCATGACGTTCGCAGGCTCGATTTCCTTTGGGAATAACTATGTGCGAGAGTATTTATGGAATCCTAGCCGTCGTGGTGTGGTTCACGTGGCCACTGGTCGGTTACGCTTTCCTCTACCATCAAATCCATGCATCTGAAAGAAATAACTGTCTCACTATTCCGATATCCGACATGGATTGGTAACTTGAATAGAGGCCGTGGTACTCCATATAATTCAGCCGTCTCATAGGCTTTCTTCTCCCCGGGATAAAATAATCTTATTATTAACATGCTCAATTCCGTTTAAATACTTTTTCAAACTATAATGTTAGTTACCACTAATTTTAATATTCAGATATCTGGAATTTCAAATGATCATTTGAGCTAGATCATTTTTGTCAACCGGTCGTGAGGCCGCGGTTCGCCATGTGAATAAGCCGTATTATATGCTTTCCTCTCCCCCGGGATAAGTATGTAAATCTTATCTTTCATGCTTTCATTCAAGCAAAACATTTTACCTCACAGATCTTCTGAAACACGAACATTTGAGCACTGAGGCGAAATGCATTAAAAAACTTGAAAAATTATACGAAAGGCAATGCCAGATTGATGAGAAAAAGAAAATAGAAGCAGCAAAGAAGAGAAGGAAAGAAGCGAACGAAGAAAAATATAAAAAAGCTCTCGGGTATGAAGTAATGGTAAAATCTGGCATCAGTTGCTCGATGGAAATTAAGGCCTGTAATCCCAGTGGTTCATGGACAACGAAATATATATGCACGGACGCCAAATGGCTATTATGGTCACCGCAATGTTAGCAAAATTCCAGCTAAATTTTCAAAGAATTGTAATGTCAAATGAAAGGTTACCAAAATTCTTCCGAATGTCATATGAAAGTGTGCCTTTAAAGTATAAAAGACATCGAAATTTGGATTGAAATATCAGGCCTAATAAGATTCAAATAATGCGTATAAAATGAAATCGATAGCATTCTAGCGACCTCTTCCGTCACTCACTAATAAAATCGATCGGACAAGAGAAAGGCGATTTTTTATATGACGGTATTGCTGTGAACTATAGAAACCAGCAAAAATTGTGGTGCAATATCGGCTTTACCGTGTTTCAATTTTCTATTGAAAATACCATCAAGGCTTATTTTCGGAGGATGTTCTTCATTTTCTTTTATCAAATAAAATTGTAGAGAATTACGAGATTTTCAAATATATATATATATATACAAATTATGGAAACCGATATTTATTTATCTATAAATAAAACGTTTCTATTTAAAAAAAAAAATGCTAAGCATAGATTTTTAAATTATAAAACGTGTAGGACAGATTTCTTGCTATCGGACTAAGTAAAAAAAAAAAAAATTCCGCGCTATCGACTAGGACTAGGTCTTATTTTAAGGGGGGTTTATATTAAAACATTTTTAGAATTCAGGCTAGGTCTTATTTTTGGGGAAACATCGTAGTAGAAGTGATTGCTTGCTAGCGACCTCTTCCGTCATTAACCTACCGAGACCATAAAATTTTACCATTGTTTTATTCCCTCAGAACGAGCGATACTTGGAATAGCACGTCGCTTGTACGCATTTTGAGGCTTGATTTTTTGGTATGTCACGTTCAGCTCTCCACAAATATTCTCTAACGTTAACTCCGTCATAGCATAGGTGACGTGACGCTGCTCGATAACTATTACTGCTTTTTCGCGTCTTCCTTTACCCCGGGATGCAATTTTTACGGTTCTTAATTCTGTAGGCTAGGTACAGTGTGTCCTTTCGGTATGTGAAAAAATAAACTACTGGCCAGTGGCGTATCTACGCAAAACGGCACCCAAGACAAAGTTTAAAAATGCGCCCTCTTGATCGTTAACTGACAATTTTACCAATTGTTGTGAATTGAAATACTTGTGTAAGTTATTATTAAAGTAAAAATACGAGTTTCAATTATTCCTGATTCGAAATCATTATTAAAACTTTTCATCCTTTTTGCGCGTGTATTCAAACGGCGCCGACGGCACGAACCACGACAGCCATTTAGATACGCCACTGCTAATAACTGACTGCCAGATCGGGTGCTGTGGAAATGCTAATAAAGTCTTTTTTCATTGCAGAATTGATCCGAATGGCAGTCCAGGTTTTGGGCGAGTCGATGACGAAACGTTGGAACGAAGACGGAGAGTAACAAGTGCCTCGCAGCAAGAGCAAGCAAAGAGTTTTATGAGTAAAGTGAAATCTCTGTCATCTGGGTACAGAGACAACGATCCACCGCAAGTGTACTATCAGAGGAAGGGAATCGTGCCGCCGGATAGAATCGTAAATATACACTTGGTTCCATTACATTTGAACCCACGTACATTTGAACCCACGACAATTGCACCTGCATACTATTGCACCTATGGAAATTTTTATCTTTATGGATATTTGAACCCATACTAACTCTAACCCATGGATTTTAGCACCCGCATATAAATTGGACCCGCGGATATACGGGTTCAAATGTACGGTCACCATACACTTGGTTTATTTAGATGTTACATAAATAAATACCGTAGAAACTAGGTAGAAAGCAATCAAAACCTTGTACTAGATTTAAATAATTTTTACCGAAATGATTTCTATGACTCTATATAAAAGAAAATCTAGGGCCAAGGAACTTACACAACTTTTAGTATAGAGTGTATTTTTAAAAATACAACTGGATTTTATTTCTTGCATAACCACCAAACAATGTCCTTCTGTATTGGCGTATTCTCTAAAATGCTAAATCTTAGTGACATATCCGCCATGGCAAGCTAGATTACGGAATCGAAAAGTAAAGACGCGTAAAGAATACTTTCAAAAGAATGCCTTTTATTCGGTAATCCTGAAGTATGCGTACCAAAATGGCAGACACCACAACGTAGTATATTTACCAGGTTTGGGTTAGGCCATAATTCATTACAATTTTCCTTATTTTAATTCTATTACGAGTTCGGGGACTAGCTAAGTGACTCCCATAGTATTTGTACCTGAAATTATGGCCCAACCCTAACCTCGTACACATACCACGTTGCGGTGTCCGCTATCTTGGTACGCATACTTCAGGAGTACCCTTATTTACGCGCCTTTTGGATCGTATTTTCAAAAATACGACTGAATTTAATTTCTTAGATAACCACCAAGCAAAGTACTTATTTATAGACGTAGTAGGGTATTTTCTAAAATGCTAAATCTCGCTGAAATATCCGCCATGGCAAGCTAGCTTACGGCAAGAAACACTTTAGAGTTTAGACGAAAGCGTAAAGAATTTAACGCAGACAAAAGTATGCCTTTTGTTTATTTGCGTGAGCAGAAATGCCACAAATCAAAGTACCAGCCATTTGCAAGATTTGTAATCATTTTCAATCAATATTTAAATTTAAATTATATGAAACAGGTGACCCCGGAAGTAAGTTATTCCGCCCAAGCTCAGCAAGGAGGTGGATTTTTTGTTCCGCCGTCTGCGGTTCACGTGAAACAACTCAAGAAATGGCACGGGATACCAGAGGATGCCTTCCACACACAGTCTGTTGAAGGTAAAGAGAAAATAAATTAATATTATGTCTTCTCACATTGACATGTGGCGACTCCGGTTCCATTACATTTGAACCCACGTACATTTGAACCCATGACAATTGCACCTGTATGCTATTGCACCTATGGAATTTTTTTTGTTTCACGGATAGTTAAACCCATACTAACCCTAACCCATGGGTTTTAGCACCCGCATATAGATTGAACCCGTGGATATACGCATGGGTTCAAATGTACATGGGTTCATATGTACGGTCACCGGCGACTCCAGTTGGCACAGGCTGACGTTTACTATATTATATTTGTAAGGGGTGCCAGGATGGACCATCCGCCAATCGCCGAAGCCTATCACATTAGCATTTATAAATATACCTGACATAACTTAACTGATCATATATACATGACATGGGCAAACAAACTACGGCCCGCGGTTTATCTGGCCCGTTGGGTAATTCAATCTGGCCCGCCTAATGCTGCCACAATCAAACTAAAACCAAATTTGGCTGTTCAAGCTTAAAAAAAAGCTCGAGGAATTTGTTCAGATTGTGATTAAATTTAGTTTTGGCACGAGGCTTATTGTTTTTCATTTTTCCTAACACTGTAAATATTGTCCATAAATCCCACTATCCTAGGTGGGCAAAGTGTTTGGCCCCTGGCCCAAAAACCTTGTGCATCCCTGTCTATATAAATGGAAATTATTATTTCATTTCAAATGAAAACTTGGGGAAACCCAAAGATCAGTGGCGTATCTATGGTGTGGCAGCCATGGCTCGTGTCATGGGCGCCGCTTGAACAGGGGCGCAAAAAAGTGTGAAAAGTATTAGTCATGAAAAGTTTCAATAAACTAATTTTAAATTGGGAGTAACAGAAACTCGTATTTCAACTCAATTAATAACGTACAACGGTACAAGTATCTCAATTCAATAATAGTTTTTATGAATTGTCAAACAACTATCAAGAGAGCGCATTTTTAGACTTTGCCATGGGCGCCATTTTACGTAGATACGCCACTGCCAAAGAATTTTATAAAACAGCCTTAACGCGATTATACTTCACACTGAATTTTGCAGCTATTCTGCACGTCTCATTGAATGAATTTCACAGCTATTCCACTGAATGTGGCTTGAACAAAATTGGGTACTTCCGTAGTATGTGAACTAAGGTGGCGGAGCCCGGAACGTAGTATGTGTACCAGGTTAGGGTTAGACCATCTACATTCCGGTGTCCGCCCTCTTGGTACTCATACTTCAGGAGTACCCAAAAGTGTTTTAGTCGAAACATGTCTAGCATGTCTTTTTACAAAATAGCGGGCGTGCGCGCAAATGCTCTTTAGTAAATTAGTGAAACAATAATATTCTAATATATATTACTTTTTTTCAGTTGAACTGACTGTGAAAAAATCGCTTCCTCCAGAAAAGCCACAATTTAATCTATTGGAAGCATTGAAAGCGACTGAGGATGGCTTAGAAGGACTCGAAATTCTCGAGGAAGAAGACGAATCGGAATCCGGCGAAACAACTCCGCTATCTTCAATGAGCAGCGACGGAGCGCCGGAGATTGATGAAGTCCGACTTGTGAACATTAGACCAAGCACTGCACCGGTTCCACGAACATTTCCAAGCCGAATGCGGCCGAATAAAAATCTTACGCTACCAGAGAGTGGACTCCTAACTGGCGCGGGAGATGAAGCACCTGTGAGCCCGTCAGATGAACCAAAAACGCCGGGGATACTTGTAAATAGATTAATGAAGCGACCATCAACGGCAGAAGTGTCGTTTTCTGGGCCAGACTTGAACGAGACCACGTCCTCCAAGCCAAATCCGAGAGCCAGGCGACCATTAGAGAGACGTCAATCATCTGTAATCTCGTTCTCTGATTCGCCACAAACAAGAAGACGATCAAGCATTGCCACGCCCCTTGCTTTACTCCATAGAAGACAATCTAACGTGGCGGCTATTCATAGAAATATAAGAATGGAGTCCAAATTGTTGAAGCCTAAACAAAATAAAATGAAAAGAAAATCAGGTTGGTCCGTTCAGTTGCTATCATTTATTGCCCCGCAGCCAAAAGTTACTGTAAGACTCTCTTTTCTGTCTATCTTAGTAGGTACCTAGAGAAAGGGGGTAGTAGCCTAAACCTGGGGTTTTCAAACGTTTGGTGTTATGAGGCCCGTGAAGATGTTCACGATTAAAACAAGAGAGCTATGCTCAAATATATGGACACGTAGAACTACATAATTTTGATGACGTCATAGCAAAAAATAATAATAGCCCTCTAGCAAAAAATATAATCTTTACTCACTGAAAATTTCAAAGCAATTGGTCCAGTAATCAAAGAGAAAAACGATTTCTTTAAAACGTGTCAAAGAACAACAACAACATAATATTGAAACGATCGTTATGTCCACTACGTGTCCAACAAAAAACACTTTGTTCCTTGCCGATTAACATAGAGTAATCAGAGGCGATGTGAAAACGTTTTCTAACGCTTTATTTGTAACATCTTTTTAGGCAAACGAATGGGGCTAATGCAAGCTATCATGACCAACGAAGAAAACGAGGTTCTTGTTCGTAAACTAAGAGAAAAATCTCACACTCTAGCTATGGAACGACAGAGACGAATTCAAGAACACCGCGCACAGTCAGCACCTAGTGGAGGAATAGGACGACGCATTCAAACTGAAGAAAACTATCCAACGACACGGAGGCTAAGTTCTTTCAAGCTGGACGAAATGGATGGGAACGCAAATCGTAAAGATAGCAGAGGACAAAAGATCTTACTGAACGCGAATATGGATTATTCAGTGAAATTGACTAACAGAGTAAGAGTTTTGATGACGACGCAAATCAATAGATAAGATCAGGGGCGTAGCAAAGGGTGGCTTTGGGGGTCGGTTCCCATGAAACAATCTTTCTGTATCATACATAGCGATTTTTCGTAGCTTGAAACGATTTTAGACCGTTAAGACTCATGAAAGCAGACGTTTCCCGGCGTTCGGCCGGACCCGTTAGCAGTTTCGCTCTAACTTCGCAAATAGAAATTTTAACCCCCCTCTCCCTTTCAAAATTTCTGGCTACGCACCCGGATAAGATAATTTTATATTTACCTCTCAGAAATAGGCTTACCATATATATATGAAACGAAAAAAAAACAGGGCAGATTAGATCGGACAACCATTGATTCGAATCTGAAGGCTTAGTAATATTCAACTCATATTAGTAATATTCGTAAATATAAAAGATAAATGGTCTAATCACTGATAATGGACACCATTTAAAAATAAAAGAATTTTGTATTAATATTAAATAAAAACTTTATAACTGCCATACTGCACGACCGGGACATTTGAGTCCACCGGGCGAGACAGCTAGTCCAAATCGGGACACTCCCGGACGAACGGTAAGCCTACCCAAAAATGAAAGTCGATAAATGTACAATGTTTTTGCACGACGAAAAATAAATATCTGAATCTGATCCTAGTGACTAGTCATATAGCCGACAGCGGCTTGGTTACCAATATGAAAATAACCAGTTGGTAATCCGATGTCTGGTTGAAAAAGCCTTGATCGGTCACGCATTTGCAATAGCGACGATACTAGCGTTCCCCTCAATTAACTCTTTTTTTTTTTTATTTACTCAGAAAAAGGTCTGTAATGTTCTGTCAAGGCGTATTCAAAAGTACGACTTACCTCCACTGATCACAATGACGAAAGTTCCAGCCCAAAATATTTTTTATATATAAAATAACCTTCATTAACCTATTGCTTGTGTAACTGGTAGGCCCAGGAGCATAGTGTACTAATAACTAAACGACTGTCGATCTTATCCAATACTATTGAAACCACATTTCAACGAATTAAATTTACATTTTGCAATGAATACTGTATGTGTATATCGCATTATTTGCATGTACATTGCCGTATTCGTTCCACTCTAAACCACATAACGGACGCTGCGTGAAACTGGTTCAAGGCAATTTTTGGGCTATGATTTTAAACTCACTCAACAGACGCGACCAGAGAGTCCGCCATAGTGTACCAAAAGACGGACAACCTTATCTAATGCTATCGAGTCTTACCACATTTCGCAACTCTTTACAGCTATAAAACGCAAAATCTTTGATAGAAACAGAATTGACGGCCATGCCATACATAGCCTTGTACTACACCATATTCTGAATTGATCAAGAACGCAAAATGTTTCCCCCATTATGCTCCACACTTGAATAATAATAGAGAACAAACGTTTTCTGACAAGGACAAAGGTTAAATGTTCCATTCAACTGCAAAATTTCTCGTTCATTCGAAGTAGTAACTTGTTATGCATGTATTCTTTTGCACTTAATATTTATGTACTTATATTTGAATAAACTATTTAAAAAAAATAATTTTGATGATTTTTTAGAAGTCTGCATGAAAGTCTTCGCTGTGGTACCAGAATTTTCATACATCGAAGCATGAACTTCAATCTGGCTTTTGGAGGTTCATTACCAGGTGCTTTGCACCCAATGGCATATCTACATAAAATGGCGCCCATGGCAAAAGTTTAGAATTGTGACCCCAAGATAGTTGGTTGACAATTTATAATGACTATTATTGAATTGAGATACTTGTATGTTAATATTTGAGTAAAAATACGAGTTTCTGTTATATCTAGTTTGCAATTCTTTTATTAAAACATTTTACAATTACAACTTTTCGCCGTTTTGTGCCTCTGTTTAAACGCCGCCCGTGGACACGCCATTGTTTTCACCACCGCCCTAATGAAGTGGCGAGCCACTACATAGGATCATACATCATCCATGTTAGTCGGTAGAATATCAAACTTCGTCTATTTTCATTTTTTCATCAAATTCTTCCTGAGAAATCTGAAAAGTAAAAAAAAACTTTTATCTGAAACTGTAGCAATTTCCTTTTTCTTCAAAGCGAAGGGGTCTACACTATAACAGTGGCTCCCAAAGTTAATTGACCGAGCAGAAGGATGTTCGTGGGCCAGGAGAAGGGAACGCCCACAAGGGTACAGATATATATAATTGAAATACCAGTATAATTGAATTCTTACGAATATACAAGTGCTCAAACTGTGATAATGATGTAACAATCAGCGATATCTAGCACACAAAAAAATACGGTAAATGTTTAAACTGTGTCTGTGAGTGGTGGGGTAAGTTGAATCGTTACGCGGGCCACGGATTGGGAACTACTGCACTATAGCTAGTAATATCTAGTGTCTGTTCCTTGAGTTTACGACCAGAACCTCGCCCATGATCGTAATGAATGGGTGTGAATAAGCAAGACTTTTTAAACAGACTCTTTGTATCACTGGATGCTTTTCAAGAGAAAGAGAAAATTTCTCATAAAACAATAAAAGGCTTTGCTACACTTCAACAAACAAAAGTGACTCATAACTATAATGCTGCTGTGTTTTAACTAGGGCTTGGCATTTTCAAATTTCTGATGATTTCAAAATCAAATTGAATTTTTTTCGTGTCGAATCTCGATTACTTGGAAGATTTTTCAGAAATAAAATTTACTGAAAACACATAATCTACCACCCAGACAGTTTGCTGAGTGTTCACACACATTAAGAAACATCTTCCACCAAAAACTTACTTATAAGAACAGAGTCGTATGTCAGAATTGCATTGTAAAAATACGATTTTAATAAAAAAAATCCTTGATCGGATGAAAAAAACAAGATGGCGGCGATTCAAAATTCCAGTCTGTACCGATTCGATTGATTTACTATTCGATTCAAAATGCCTAGCCATAGTCTTAACCAGTGTTAACTCTAAGGAAATTATGAGTGCGAAAGTGCTTCGCAGTCGAAAAAAAAAGTGCGAAAGTGCTTTTTCTGATTTTAACTAGTTAGGTGCCCTAGCTTTCGTTTAAACTCATTTCAAACAGCATAGATACTCGAAAAAGCCGCTCCTCCCGTTAATATTGTGAATTGAAGTCTTTCCCTTAACGGAGTTTCGTTTAAACCCTTGGGAATAAAAGTTTCGTGCAATCAACCACCAGCGTCAATAACGAAGCGCACTCCCGCCTGAACAGACAAGTCTTGCAAACTTGTTTCTTCCATCTAACAGACACCGATTGATACATGCAGATATTAGTTACTACCGGCCATAGCTAGGGGGATCATTTGTACAAAACCCGGGCAAAATGACATCCCATGACCCATCACCAATATCGCTTTAGTATAACACGCTTTCTCGTCCGAAAGAATATGCTTGAAAGTAGTCCGCCCTCTTCCCTTTTAAGAGATTGGTTAACGTCATGTTTCTCCGGCCAGTTTTTCTTTGGGAAATAACGCAAGATCACCATGAAAGTACCGCTGTTTTTATAGATAGAGTGACCTACTTTCTATCGAAGATTTTTTTTCCGAAATATTATGCAAGATCACTTTGAAATCCCTTTCATGAGCTAGCTTGGCCTAATTTATATTATACTGTCTCACGGATTACGCTAAGACGTGTAATTTTCAAATATCGACTTGCATTGGTTTGCGTGCCAGTTAGTTCAAATCGGGTAGAAAACATCATATATTTGCAATTTTTTTTAGAAATGCCATGTACTTCCAGCATTTATAAATAACGCTCTCTCTAATGCTGCAGACCTAGTATGAAATATTCGCATCTCAACGCCACTTTCAATTACACTAATAGTAATGATGACACCAAAGAGTTTTCCTTTGCGAAGGTACAGGAAATACAACAGGGTGATTCTTGAAAAAAACATGAATGTAAAAAATAAACGAATGACATGATAGTGGTTCCCAAATAATTTTGAGTGTGACGCGAAATACCAATCCATTTGATAAATCTTTTTTAGTCGACCACGTGAACGCCGAAATCCTGGAAATTAAAGTTGAAAGAGAAGTACGCATTCTCACATAAATAATCGCGATATATAATCGTTCATGTGCACAAATCTCACATGTAGCATCGGTTAGTTGTGCATGAAATGTAAAACTCTTATGTGTGTGCGTTTCAATTTCAATAAAATCAAATTCGTTTTTCCATGCACCATTACTTGTAATTTTAATATTAATTGCGTTCCGAGTTTGTAAAGTTTAGAAACCTCTTGTATATACCATTACCACTATTTTGATTGGCTAAAGAAAGATAACACGTAACCGCTTTTCGGCAACATGGTATTCGTTTTATATCTGCTTTGAACAGAGAAAAAAACATGTGCCCTCTCAGTCATCTGATCACAATCGAAAATCCGTATTCATTTTTTTCGCGATTTCGGCAATCGTTATTATTAAGGGTTTTCGTCGACTGAAAAATAAACATCGTTCTGTTAATTATATATTTCAGGCCATGTTCTTTATATCCTGCCATAATTAGCAAATCTTTATTAAGCAACCCATGATTATAAAATAGCTTTGCTTATCATTTGCTGCTGAATCTTGTGCTATCGCTTGTCAATTATAGCAGAGACGTAAGGAACATATTTAAAAATTTTCATGTTTATAAGAAATTAGCACGTTATCAGCGCCAACTAACAGAAAATAACTTATCATAAATCACAATTAAAATTCAGTCGGTAATAAATGGCGCTAAGGTGATGCCATACAGAACAAAAAGATTTGGTCGCGAGAGTTACCTTAGATGACGTATAACGATGTTGTTTTATAAGCGGAAGGTAGAACAATCAAATTTAATAAAAAAAAACGGGGGTTACGACACCCGTAACACATCAAGTTCATTAGACATCTCTAAAGACTTCTAAGTTGGTTACTCGATTACACTATACTATCAATATTACACTTATTACACCTGTTTGAGTATTCCGGACAATTTCGAATTTGAAATAAACGAAAACTCAACATATCATAATTAATACACAAAAGTAAAATAAACATTCATCGAAAAAGTTATTATTTAAGAACAACAACATAATCGTATAATTCCGCCCAAACCCCGATGTTCGCAAGTGAGATGATAAATAAATACTTTCCGTGTATTCGATAAATCAACTTCTGCAAACAGTCTTGGTGCAAAATATTTCCATCCAGTGATATGCTTACAAATATTCTCTGCGTTAATATCATAACCTCGCCTATAGGACTGGGCAAAATATTCGTATCGTTTCAATTTCATACTTTGCGCCAAAAAAGGTACCAACAAAGCTTCCTAATTTTAGAAGAGTCAAAATAAATAGACTATTCGAAATAAATATCCCAGATTTCAAACTCCGTATATTGGCAGCATGAATTAGCCGTTTCATGTAGGAGCCGCACATACAATTGATTGTCGAAAATTAAAAGTTAAATTGACGTTCCGAGAGCCCACACATGGTATAACATGTACAGGCTATAACCAGAAAAAAATGACAAGTCATAATCCTTTTAATGTGCTTTCAATTAGCTCGTTAGTGATCCCTCCCATCCTTGGCCAAGTAATGTTTCGAAAATGTGAACCTTCCACTCAGCCATGCATGGCGGGTGGAGTGTTGAAATCGTGAACAAGAGTATAACGTAAAATCAATCGTGAATTTCGATGTAACAACGCACACTGTCTCCGTCATGAATTGCGCCTATTAACATCGGAAATGATTAAATTCGTTATATTTTGAGTATTTTTGCACCAATAATTAGGGCGTGATTATCAAAATGGTGAATTTGCAAATTCCGTAAATAAAATTGTAACATTTTAGCTAGAATTATCACCGGGCAGGGGCGCAGGATTTTTTCAACGGGAGATTAGGGGGAAGTTAAAACATTACACCAAAACTGCAATTCGCGACGACGTAATGCGTTTATAACTAAAATGTAAGGTCGTTCACGGCGAAATTTCGCAGTTACGTGTAGCCCGCCTTTCTTTGCCCAACGGTCCGAAGTCCTATTTTAAACATCGACCATTTATCCGTAGTCAGCGGGCATCCGCATCTAGAAATGAAACATTAAAAATCGCGAAAATTAAATTTGGAGAGATCTATAACTCGCAGATGTCAGTAGTGTCATCATGGTTTATATGTACAAAAACACGCTCGCATGTAGCGACGATCAAAATCATGAAAATGTGAAACTATTACTTGAAAATTATTGTTAATGAAGTTAAATTTTTATTGCCATTCAATGATTATTTCATAATCGAAGGCTGCAGTAAATTTTTTGTCGCCGCGATCGTGTTGTTAAACTATATTAAAGCATGTTTTTATTCACTAGCAAATATTAATTCTCACGTAACGGCGGACATCGTAGTTTGGTTTTTATATTTCGGATAGAATTGTGAATTCACATCGGCGAAGATTTTAAAGACAACTATTAATGAGCGCATTCACAACGAAAATTGATTTTGTTCTGATTTTTATCTTCTGTGTAGGATTTGTATCAGTTCGTAAATTACCGTCCCGAGTTTAAGCGAACAATAATATTATTACTGACCCCGGGATGCGATATTTGTGAAGCAGATAGTTGACATTTCTATGCTTTTAATTTTAGATCGTGTCTGTGTTACTTTCGTATTAAATAATAATTGAAAAACTCCGCAAATTGGTTATCTCTTGAGTACTCAGTGTTAAGTATTTACGTAACTCAGCTTTGGGTTAAAACACTGATAGTAACTAAACACGTGAATAAATCGGCAATAATGGCATTTCGACATGGTCAAAATAATATTTCTCACCAATATCTCATGAAAGTTCCATAAAATACATTATTTACTTGTCTTACTTATCGACGTTTCTAAATTTACAAAAACGATGTTGACACGCTTTATACAAAATCGTTTCAAATTTATTGTTTCTACATGTTAGCGATAGCCGTCTGGTTAATTCTTACCCGTAACTCATTGTAAAGTAATGTTAATAAATTGTGTTTTGCTTTCCAATGCGCGGTTAACCGCGGTTAAATTCGTTCGTTTTCCGGAATTGCAATCAACAATTACACATTTTTTATTTATCATTATCACCGAATAAAAAAGATAACATATCGTGAAGACGAAAAAAGTCGTTGAAACTTGAGTTGAATTAGTTGCAATTAGCGCCTGATTAGGCACCAGAGCACTCGAGCCCAATGTTTTTAGCATTAGTCGCATATGTAAAATATCCTTAAAGAAGTGCTGTTTATTAAAGTCATCTCGTCTTATGGCCACGCAGAAATGCCTTTATTGCCGAATTATTTAATCACAATTTTAAATCAACATTCAGGATTGGCACAATCTCAGATTTGCGAGGTTTATCTGTAAATTAATACAGACACCATAAAAAAATTATAAAAGTTAATTATCTTAAATATTGCATTCCGGCATCGATAATAATAATACCATTCGCTTAAAATTGGGACAGTAAATTTACAAACGTTGATAGGTAATATCAAGTCAACGCAAATGTTTATTTTGGTTTTGAAATTTGTCGTTGATGCCCTTAACAGCTGTTGCCGATGTGAACGCACGCGTAAGCCTGGATTGCCAAACCCAGGATATAGTCGCCAAAACGATTGCGGTGACAAAAACAATTAGCTATTATAACGAAATTAACCAGTAGAAAAGGCTTCCTTGCTAATTTTTCGACCGACGTTCTAGACTCCTGCTGTGCATAAAAAATATTCCTTATTCGTTAAAAATATTCAATTCGAAAAAATATTCGATTTTGCCCACCCCTACTCGCATATTAATGAGGAAATAGTTTAGATTGATTTTTGACCCTGGTCTGAGTTTGATTTATCGTGAATGACTAGACTAGCTAATACTGAATATCGCAAAATTCCGCGAAACGCCATTTGCTTTTAACATTCGTGGTTACAATAAAATGGCTGTTAAATGTTAATACGACGTATGTATTTTGTCAATTTGGCGATTTTGCAAATCTGTGAGATGCTGCTAAAAGTTTCTTCTAATTTAACAAACAATGGCCCAAGTTTACATTCCATTACTAAACAATGTCGTGTCGAGTATCAGAAATTTCTGAATGGCTCCAGTAAATTCACTAAGAAGAGAACACAGACCTGTCAAACCAGTACTAGAAAATCGTGTACTTTGGTCACAATTCATCGATGTCATTGACAGTCACATGACCACTCTCGTTTAGAGAAACGCACTGCCTTGCATTCGGACATCTGGTTTCAAAGACGCCGCCGAGCGTTTTCGCGGTCGAAGCGGAATCGGTGTGCTTGTATAATAATCATATTATAAACAAGAATTTTGCCATTAATGCAAAAGCTTTATCTTCCATGTCTTCACCACATAGGTTAGAATTCCGGTAAATATCGTTATGATATGCAGAATTGAGTTACAAAAGTACTAGTATGTTACTTATTTGTCAACTTAATACGCACACAAAAATATTTGTCAATTTTGAATTTTTATTCCATTCAAAATCGAAAAAAAGTGCTATTTCTCTTCAAAATCGGAAAAAAGTGCTATTTCGCAGTCCCTAAAAAAAGTTGCGAAAGTGTTTCGCAATTTTCGCAAAAAAGTGCGCTAATAGTGAACACTGGTCTTAACCCATTACAATGAAATCTGATTGCCAAGAGTCTTCTAGTGTATTAGGAAAAGTATAAATCAAATAATCGTTATCAAATTAACTTACTTTTCCTTTCTTTAACTTTTTAACCAATCTAGCATCATCTTCTAATTCTTCTAGTTCTTTATCATTGAATTCCTGGAAATGAGGAAAAAATAATTTATTAGGTAACATCAGGACATCCAGTATACAAGATCAGGAGTGTGCTACCTTTAATACAGAGGGCCAGATACAAATAACTGGGTGAAACAGTGGGCCTCTCCTTTATTTAACATAGGCTTTCGAGTAGTAACAAGCACGAAAAGTTTGGTTATGAATCTTATGACATGCATTGTTCGCATCACACAAGCTAGCTGTTCGGGCATTGTAACGTCATAGGCATAGATAATAAATTAGACTCAGGAATAGGCGAAGAGATTGAAATTACTCAAACATACCAGATAGAACTATATTTAAAACTCGTTTTCAGGGCCCCACCTCATTCAAAATTGGCCCTTCTCCTTGAGCCGCACAATTTTTTCTTGTGGGTCGCCCTTGGCCTGCTGGTTGCACACCCCTGCACTACATGAGATGATTTTTTTCAGAAATTCTGATTTCATTTTTAGAGTATTATTCTTGAATTAGTCCTGTCCTACTTTACTGAAAATAAGGACTCACAGAAAAGGGATTCTAGTGGTATTTATAGCATTATTTTGATTGGTAGATTCCAAATCCCATTATGTTCAAACAATTCATGCTCAACAAAGTGTAAACACCATGTGAAATAATCTTATCTAGCAATGAAACTAGGGAAAATGGAAAGTTTTCTTGAGAAAAGAAAAGTAAAATGAGTTTTGCACCTAGCATTGTGACGCTGCAATGGTCTTTCACCCCTTGTGAGGCCATGGGTTCCGGTTTGAAACCGCTGACTTATAACAAATCTCAAACACTCACATTTGCCTCTTTCAACTTCCTTTTTCTCTTATATTCTCTCCTTTTAAGTTTCTTTTCAATTCGTTCTTTATTTTTTGACCAAGAGTTATTATTCACAAATTTCTTTTTGTTTTTATTTTCAATTTCTCTGTTTCTTGGCTTCTTGAGTTCAATTTGACGAAGTTTCTCTCTCGCTTTGTCCCTGAAGACAAAAAAATGACGATAAATAAAACTGCGCTCCAGAAGTATGTGTACCAATATGGAGGTAACTAATTTTGTCCGCCTATTTTACATCAAGTTGTGTAAAGGGACTGAAAGCTATGGGCAGAGGTTATATTCACTTGGCCAACACAGACAGTCCCCAAACTCGTAATAGAACTAAAATAAGGAAAACCGGAATAAAATTATGGCCTGACCCGGTACACACACCACGGGAGTATCAAATAAACTGCACAGAGATATAAAATGAAAGTAGAATGCTGGTTTCCCTCAATACCATGAACTCAGGGCTGCAATCCTTTTTCGAGACAAATTTGCATTTTTTCTCTCGCAATCAAAGGATATGCTCAAATACTGAATGGCAGTGTTTCTTTTGCCCCCAAATCACTAATATTACTTATAAATTTATATTTTGTTTTCTGAGAGAAAGTGCTTCAAGATGGGAAAGCTGCGTTTGCTTGCTATCAGCGAGTTTTTGAAATAGTGCAAGGCTTTATAGATAGCAAAATAGATGCTCCTGAGTTTTAACGCTGTGATACTCACCATATATGCAATTACTATCAAGCAACACTTCAATACCAGATAATAAACAATAAAATTGACTAGAAAATAAAATCCATAATTTTTGAGTTTTGTGGAAAGGGACCCAAGGCGAATTAAGACGACCCAGCTTTGGGTCACAGCTCATAGGTTGGGAAACACAGACGGTGTATAAATAGTAATATACCCCTAAAAAAATAAAACCATGCAAGTGAATACACAAATGAAAAACTTCACTTCATAGAATTCAGATTGAATTTTGATTCAATGGAAAGGCATCCCTAGTTTTTAAACAATGTTTCCTTTGAACAAGGCTCCAGACCAGGGGTAAGCAAAGCATTTTTCCCATACATCTACATAAAAGTGTAACGTAAAAAATTACATTTTATGAACAATATTCACAGTGCTACAAAAGAAAAAGTAGAAACAATAAGCCTCGTGCCAAAACTCAAAACTCAATAAATTCCTTGACCTATTTTTTAGCTGAAACATCAAAATTTGGTTTAATTTGGTAGTGACAATTGTCAAAACATATTTGGAATTTCAATAACAACAACCATGTAGGTTGAAAGTAGAAATTTATGGCAGCATCAGACGGGCCAGATTGAATCACCAAACGGGCCGAATTCGACCGCGGGCCGTAGTTCACCCATGTCAACTCTAGGCAATCAGCAAGACAAATACCTACAAAATATTCAGAACAAGCTATTAATACTGACTTGTATTTGATTCCAGATATCTTGACATCTGGAGGGTCAAAGTTTATGATTTTACGACCTTTCAACTCTGGCATTCTAGGAAGTTGTAAAAGTGCAAAACCAGAAGCTAGTTCTCCAAGATTGATATCTAGAACGAAATACATTGATTTAGATGCCAAAATATCTGACGAACTTCGCAATCGTGGCAAACGTATCATGTTGTGTATGAATATTTTCTATTTTACTACATCATAAGTCCAAAATATACAAAGAATTTCTGTTTACTCGACAAGATAAGTATTTTGAACGAACAAGCGATCAATCTTTGGCACATGATAAACAAAGAAAGATGATAAGACAGCTTACACGCATTTGGTAAGCTGGCGCAAAAAGGCCAGTCTACACATGTCTGAAAATTGACGGAGTGTGCTTTTCAGCAAACATAATGAATTTCTTCCATGGCGCTCATGCCAGGAAAATTTTTCTCAAAAATATTGTGAAATCGAATTTATTTTTGACATGGCAAAAAACTCATTGAAATGTTAAATGCAAAACCCCAAGTGTTGAGAGAATTTAGAAAGCCATGATTCTACTCCCTATGGACGTTTCCCTGACCCTTGACCCCTATAAAATTCTCCCTATACTTTATCATTGCAAAATTTTCAACGCTGAATTTGAGAATGTTTCGGGAAGTTAGCGCTCACAAACTGGCACTCACAAAAATTGTTGCAATATAAACAAGGAAATCGATGCTCGGAGAAACATCCTTTTCTCACCTTTCAATCTGAATATTAAGCTGCATTCGTGTTTTGCATAAGATTGAATGAAAGAAACAAAAGCTCTCGTCCCACGTTCCATCATTGCTCGATCTGACATCGATAAATTCGCTAATTTTTGTAAATATTCAACGTTGGAAACTGAGGATTCTGGTTCTTTGTATTCCTGGAATAATGAAAAAACAAAAATGCATTTTTTACATCAAGAGGGAGTAAGATAAAATTGTAAGATAAAACAAAGCCGCTAGAGACAAATTATTTTTATTTTTCCTAAATTTTTTTTCTAAGATTTATAAAACCTGTTATTTCACTCCTAATTTTGCTAATCAATTCAACAAAAGGGGAATACTGTCATGCTTGCTGATATTTGAGTAAGCTCTGTGCTTTTAGGCAGATAAAGAGAAAGAGATATTTATTATTTTGTCAACCAAAAAATACAGTCATCAATAAAATAGCAACAGAAATAAAATAACTTTGGTATGGACAGGAGGGAGCAATACAACAACCATAGGGTCATCGCGATAAACTCCCACCAATAAGCGACTTTCACATATATATAGTCACGTTTATTTCAGCATTGCTCCTTTTTCAAAGGACATAAATCATTCCTATTTGATGCTTTTTTAACTTTCAAAATATGATGGTGCAACAACTGAAAACATTAAAAATATTGATAACTCACAAAGATTGGTGCTTTTTGATTAATTTGCATAAATTCAACATAGGATTGTTCGTTTTCTAACAAAAATATCAAAGCATTTCCTTTTCGACCGATTCTGGCTGTTCTACCACATCGATGCACAAAAGCACTGAAAAAAAAATTGTATAAAAGTTCGTCAATTATCAACAGAATGATCGTTTAGATTTTTTACCAGTATTTGCTCATTAAAGCAGTGATGGGGTGGGCATTGCCGAAATCTTAAAAAAATCAAAGCGGTGCACTACGAGTCCGGATTTCCAAATGTTTGCTGCAGGTGATAACAAAACAATAAGGATGAATGCTATTTGGTAGTAAATTTTACATATCTGAATTCTTTGAACAACATTTTACGCATTAAAATTTTTTCTTGTATAATGCATAATACAGCTCCACTCGTGCCTTTTGCTCCGAACAGAGCCAGACAAAAGTAGCTCACAATATCTTAATAAAGAATCGCTCTATTAACGTTCTTCGTTGTCAAAGTTATCCAAGGCATATAAGCGCGCATTTCGATCTATTTCGCTTGATTCATTTGGCGAAAGGATTATTGATGGCTAGCCAGGAAATGCCAAAAATATATTATTTAAGGTGACTGTACATTTGAACCCATGTTTATATCCGTGGGTTCAATCTATATGTGGGTGCTAAAACCCATGGGTTAGGGTAAGTATGGGTTCAAATATTCGTGAAACAAAAAAATGTCCATAGGTGCAATATATGCAGGTGCAATTGTCGTGGGTTCAAATGTACAGGAACTATCAATTGAGCATCCTACCTTGCATTGCTCGGAGGATCGAACTGCAAAACCCAGTGAACTTCTGGAATGTCAACTCCTCGTGCCATCACATCCGTGCAAATGAGGATCCCACTGTAAGTTGTGAAAGTATGAAGACATTATGGAATGTGGAATAACATGGAGCTAGTTTTTAGGGGTTTAGATATTGGGGAACGCCATTGAATATTATAAAATATCCAAATTGAATAAAATTCACTGGTCTAACAGCATAATGAGGCGTGAGCTTCATAATATAACATTTGAAGATTGGTAAAAATATTAATATTAAAGTGTCTAACAGACAAACTAACAAACAGACAAATACCTATCAACATACTTACCGATCAAGATCGATAAGTAACAACAGAGTAGCCCATTGTGCAGAGCACTACCAAACAATAATTATGTAGTCTCTAACCTTTTCTTATCTCTGAAATCGCTAAAAATTTTCAAACGTTTCTTTTTGATTTTTCCATGAATTAATGATACTTCTGTCATGCCTTTCATGAATTCTAAATCAGAAAAAAAAAACTGGAACTAAAATCTTCAATTCGCAATTTTCATATCAAAAATTATGCCTAGACATGGCGCATATATTTTTAATCTGGCATATCTCTCTCAATCCGGTGAAAACTAATGTTGATGTAGTGATTAAAGCATTGGACTTAGGTTCAAGATCTCTTAGAAGCAGTAAGTGCAACATAACCAGTGAGAAGATTGACTCAGGGGCTCGGCAGCATTATCCCAAGCCTCCCCCCCCCCATGAAACTCTTAATACTACATTATCTTTTTTGGCAATTTAGCTGATGTTCTGGGGTTGGCATATTGGGCTTGCTTATTTCATTTTTCTGCCTCATTTTTATTGCTAAAATAGGCTCGGGCCTATTTGTCAGAAAACACAGAACATCAATATTTTCTATAAAACATGTAAACGCACCTTTCACTGCTCTCCCAAAATAATCCACAGATGCACAAGTAGAAAAAAATACGATGTGTGTTTTTCACTTTTATGAGATTTCAAGAATGTCATCAATTTGTTGAATTTTTCTTTAGCAGTGCAGATGACATAATAATTTTTCAATGTAGTGGGCGTTCGAACACAGGCATCTTCAGTAGTTGATATTTTCTGAAATATATATAGAATAATAGTATAACTAGAATATTGGTTAGAAATAACGATCGAAGGTTAGGGGATCCCCCAAAAAGTGGTCTTACTCCATAGTGACACCATGTGTCCCATCACTAATTAATTAATAACTCGCTAATTATAAGACATAATCCATACAAAATCAATAGACTTCTGATCCGAGCTATGATGAATGCACATGCAAAATTTGGAGCCGATTCAACCTCGCTTCCGTGAGATACCGCGTGCATCTAACACACAGACAAATACCTATCAACATACTTACCGATCTTAAGATCGATAAGTAAATACCTATATAATATATACACATACCACAACATTTGTAGTTGTTTTGCATTGACCTGAATTGCTCAAGTCTTGTGACAATTATTATTTGTTGGAGTACTATAAAGCATTATAGCCAGTATCCACGGTGGCTCTTTTCTTTTTCGTTGGCACTACAGTGGTCAACCATAACTCTACTGAAAGATTGTTTGTTTCTGAGTCAGCGCGTCTGATCTTGCTCTGAGCAAATTTCAAAGAAACCATTGCCCTTCATCCAGTTGAACAATGAGAATAAATTTTGAGTTCAACTTTCCATACGCAATAGAATGGGGTTCAGCTTAGCCTGCCAAATTCATTAATAAACTTTGGATAAGTCAGCATGTAAGGGTTTGGGCTCAAAGATGTTTACCTTGCAAACCAAAATAGCTGGGTATACCTGTCTTCTCCCTCTGGTACATGCAATATCCATCCAATATTCAGTTATCATTGAAGGAATCATCTGATCATTTTCATGACAGCTTTGGACAATGTTAATTGTACAATTACAGACTTACTTAAATCTTTTGAACCGAAACTAACAACACGTCAATTCAAGTGCGAAATGAACCATGAACCCACACTCTTAGCATATTATGCTTAACAATTTCAACTTTTTCTAACATATCATTGAGCCTAGATTCCCATTCGCTCATAATCCTTGATCCAAATCATTTGTTAATGCAAGAATACAACAACTTTAATCACCTGTTTGACTGTGATTTTGACAGGATTTCTCAATCCAGCCTTTATTAGTTTTTCAGTTTCTTCCGTCTGTGTAGCACTGAATAACCCAGTTCGCCTTTGCTTTGGTAAATGACTGAGAAGAACAAAAATACTGACTTGAACCAACACAAAATGTCATCAGATAGACGGCAGTTTACGCATCGTGCTAAGCGTTAGAAATACACTCGCCATCGCACATCTGATTACCCTGCATGGGTTCGCAGGTTAGAATCCCGTAAGAGATAACTATGAGGAGGAGTCAAGAGGATTGCTGGACTCAATGCCCTGGGATGGTTCAGTAACTGCTGGTCGATCACGGCTTTCTCCACCATCATGTCCATTCATCTGAAACAAGTAACTGGCTAACGAATCCCATACCCAACATGCACTTGTAACTGAATGAGCGGACGTGGTTTGTTATATAATTAAGTCGTCTTATCTCCCTCCATGGATTAAAACAAAGGCAAGGATGAAATCTAGGGACCTAAACGTCGAATGTGTCATCACAATACCAGCAAAATTTTAGGGCCAGTCAGTTGTAAATAGAATTGCACTAAATATTCATTTTTAAAGATATCTCACCTTAGAATAGAACTCAGTGATTGGTGGAAACCAAGATCAAGTAATCGGTCCGCTTCGTCTAATATCAAGATTTCTAACGAACGAACAGCGGAACAAAATAATTTTGATGTTTCAAACGCACTGTTGATTCTGCCAGGTGTTCCGACCAATATATGGGCACCTGAAAGAAAAAGATTGAAAGGTACTCCTGTAGTATGTAAACCAAGATGGCGGACACTGAAACGTAGTATGTGTACCAAGGTAGGGTTAGGCCATAATTCCGGGTACAAATACTGCGTCACTTGGCTAGTCCCAGAACTCGAAATAAAAGTAAAAGGAAAATTGGGAATAAAATTATGGCCTAGCCCTAACCTGGTAAACATACTACGTACCAGTGTCCACCATCTTGGTGCACATACTACGGGAGCGCCGATTTAATAACGGTTCTATCTTACTATTGCTCCATAAAGACAATCTAACTTGAGATAAAGAGATTCGAAGAAAACAGCTTAGAAAATTAGTAGACACACAGTAACAGGAATACAGGATAATAACCCTCCAGCATGTTACGACTTTTGTGAAAGAACCGACTGACAAAAAATTTGAAGCCCACCACTGTGTAATGGGGGTAGTATATAAGTGTATTTTTCATGTTCCAGGTCTCATCATTATCAGAGTAGAATTAGCTCCATACCATTTTCTTCAAAACTCTCAATATCTCTCGTCATTTCCCCCCTTCCACCGATCAACAACATGTGTGAAAGACCTCCGGCATCTTCTCCAGTCAAAAAATCAGAAACTACTTCAGAAATTTGACTCGCAAGTTCTCGAGTTGGACTAATTATGATTGAAAATACCTGTAATAGGAATAATATAAAGAAGAATTGCACTAAATAGGGTTTTCTCCGGAATGTAAAAGACAACTAAATTATAATCTTTGAGCCTAAAAAAAGAACTCAGGCTACGCTAGGTTGATGGTGATTTTGTCTCCAACTTTAACAACAAACTTGGAGAAACAAAACATATGATGTATAAGCAGCGATGCCATCGACATGAACCCAAAAATAAGGACATCAGGGAAACATAATAATAGATACCAGATAGTTTATTGAAATACTCCTTGATATACACAAATTTAAAATGGAGAATTCTGGAATAACAAAGAACGAAATGTAATAAACAAAATGTATTCATGCCAGTGCCATGTCTAATCATACTTTGCACTAGAAAGGATTTGCTCCAGCAGTTCTATTTTCTTAGAAACAATCTGTTCCATCTCACTTTTGAGGTTGTATTTTGATTAAAGTTACACAAACTGATTTTGGCCGATAGGCTATTGTTTTGTCATTGTGTCAACAGTCAACTAATTTATTGTAATTACGTAAGGAATGCGCGTAACAATCTATAAGGTTGTGAAATATCATTGACCAATCTTAAGTACCTGGTATTAGAACCTCCACCCAAAAAATAAGCACAAAAAAGGGACACATGTCAAAATAAGGACGTATCTAAGAAATAAGGACAAAAATATATAAGGCAAAGACCTTCAAATTAAGGACAAATCTTAGAAATAAGGATGTTATGGCAGCCCTGTGTAAAAGCAATGTTGAGAATGGTTATGCAACTCCACAAAGATTTCTAAATAAGGAGTGCATTATTTTGATTGAATAGAATTTAGAAGTCATTACTGAGATTAATTCAAATTTTGTTAACATCTAATTCATTTGACAATAAACAATTAGTGGTTCTCCCATAATTTGTGAACCAAGATGGCAAGACACCGGAACGTAGTATGTGTACCATGTTAGGGTTAGGCCATAATTTCAGGTGCAAATACTACGGGAGTCACTTGGCTAGACCTTGAATTCGTAATAGAATTAAAAAAGAGGAAAATTGGAATAAAATCATGGCCAAACCCTGACCTGGTACACATTCTATGTTCCGTTGTTTGCCATCTTGGTTCACATACTTCGGGAGTACCCAATTAGCATCATGTTTTTATAAAAAACCAATTCCAAATATTCTGGGTTCGAAACATTTGAATCATTACCTCATGCTTTTTTTATTGTTTTGGTTTTCCTCATCAACATTTCAATCATGGGAATGACAAACGCAAGAGTTTTTCCACTTCCTGTAACTGCTTCAACTGCGACATCTTTATTCCTCAGAAATAAAGGAATTGTTGCCGTCTAAAAATAAATGAATCAAAATTTAAAGAATGTGTTTCAGTACATTTATTAGGAATAAAGCTCTAGTATTATTTGTAATTGGAATTATTCCGGTTTTCTGAGTGAGGGGACATGAAACTAATTAAAAATAACAACATTTGGGGTCTGGTATAGTTTAGCACCACATGTACTTCTAGTTGGCCTGGCTCAACAATTTCTGCATATGCCAATCCTAACCCCCAACTGACTACGTCACCGGAAAATTACGTCATTTCGACGTCACATTGGCGTAATAAGGCCCGCCAAAGTATGCGGATGGTTTTCAAAAACGCGCAGATGATCACCCGAAACCGAGCAAGCTATTTCTCTCGTTTTCCCGTCATAACGATCACGATAGGAGAGAGATCGCTGGCGTTAGCGAGTTCGTAATCGGCGGCGCAACGCCATTTCGGGCGATTGTAATTATACTTTGGCAAGCCCTATGACGTGTTTGTGACGTCGTATTGGCGTAATTTTTGGATGGCACAGTCAGGTGGGGGTTAGGAATAACATATGCAAAATTCGTTTTGATACGCCAACTGGAAGTACTTGTGTTACTAAACTATACTATACCCAACATTTGTTAGATCTTATCTTGCCCGCCTTATTTCGAATATTAACATTTTTTATTGTTTAGAGATTGCAGAGAGCTGTTGTGTTTGTAATAGTGTGGAGCATGTTTAAGAGTTTAACTTCCTGCTTTCAGTTCACAGATTCTAAAACATAGTCTACTTTCAGATTTTCGTCCTACCTATTTGTATTTGTTATTCCTGTAATTGTTAGCTACGGTAGTTATAGTTACTGAGTTAGGAGAGAACATGCCAAAAACATGAAAAGCAATTGCAGGGTCGTTTATCACAGTATTACCTGCATCTGTGCATAGATACACTGATTCGAAAACCAACTGCTGAACTAAACCAATTGAATACTATTACGGACTTGCATATAAAACGACCGTGAACACACCGGTACCGGTATAAAACTCACCTGAACTGGAGTCATCTGCTTGAATCCTTGATTTCTCACAATATCAAGCGTATGTTGAGAAAGACCACATGCACCCCAACTGTCCATTATGTACGGTACCACTGAACTACACAACGATCAACGAGTCTGGCCAATTTCACGTAAAAAGCTCAATTGCAGCTAAACGCAACACACGTTGTCTCTGGATAGTTTTACATTACATACAGAATTAATATCTGTTGCCAACATACTAAATTACGCATGGGAACTAATTAGCATCAGTAGCCCAAAGACGCGCATCAAAGTGAAGGCATCGTATGATTGTTACGAAAATATTTCATTTATTCAAATTGTTATATACTCATTCAGTTTCTGCCTATCATTATGCTCTCAATGTTTGCCGCTACTAACCCAGGGGAGGTGAAAAGCTGACTTGCGAATGGTTGATAGGGGTCGTCGGATTTGACGGTAAATAAGGCAAATAACTGTATTCTTGTGCGAGAAAAGGCGTATGGACATGCCTTTTGAATCTAACCTAACATAACGTGCAAAAAGTTAGGTTAACAAGTGCTGGCCGTACCCGACATGTGACCGCGACGATTACTGGATAGTTCTGTTGAGCAGCTGTAGCCACAGGTTCGTGAACCACCCAAGTTTGTGAGTCACCTAAGATGAAGTGGTTGGATTGTGTCAATGGACCATTGAGGTGCAATGGACCTTTCCCCGACCTTTGACCCCCAGAAAATTGTTTGTATACTTTACCATTGCAAAATTTTCGAAGCTATTTTAAGAATGCTTTTGCGAGTTGGCGCCTGTAAAATGGGGTATGTGTTTCATACCATCATTATGATTCATCGCATACAACAATCTGTTTTTTAAAGGTACCGGTAAGCAATTTCACGCTAGTCTATCACAGCTATTTCTACACTAATTTTTATTACTGCAATTGAATCAAAACTCCTAGTAAGACAGAGTGATCATTGAATTTTCTGATTTTTATTCAAGTTTCCGGAACACAAAAACGCGAAAACGAGATAATGTTTACAACCACGCTTGAAAATCTGTTTGAGTGAGAAAAGTGTCTGAGCGGATGCCTAAAGGGGGCATTGTTACGTCACGTTTTGCATCTTACTGATTGGCCAATGTCACGAAGTAAACAAGGAAGTCGATGCTCGGGGAAAAGTCCATGCTTCCCAACTTTTTTTGATAAATTCTTCTCTTTATAGAATTTGATACTCCTCTGGTACACATACTATCGGAGATTTTATTCACTAAAGGAAAATTGTTTTTAATTTCTCCGAGGCCAACGGGTTCAGATATTTCATCTCAATATGGTATATTAAATGATGTTATGTATTAATCCATGGATTTGGCATTCGCTTCAATATATTTAGAATGCATTTAAACTCTGCTATTCTGCCGTAATTTTCACGGTTCATTGGAAACTCTTTCCAAACGCCATATTTTCTGTGACTGCCGAATTTTGTACCACGACTGGTAGCCTACTCAACAATAATATAAATACCCCATGTCGGCCAACTGAAGAAGCTCACAAATCTGACCTCAAATGTGCTCACGAAATCTTTGTCACTTTACCTGTTTGCGCTAGAGATCAACTCGATCTACAACACCCAATTAATAAAACCAAGAGCTTCGGTACAAGACTTCTGAATGGCCCAGATGTTTCATGCTCAGAGAACACTGCTCCCCTTCACAAAATATAACACCACACAATCCACTAGCCCACGGCTACTCAACAACTTTTTTACCAAAAGTTCAAAATTACCGAGGTCAGGGCTTTCCAGAAATCTTTAAACGCGCACTTCTACGGCGAGTTAATGATTACTCGCTAATCAAGAGAGCGCTATTCTCTTTATTTACTATAGCTTCACAGCTATTTTTATACAGTCACGTGCAATTAAATTATAAAAGTCAATCACTCCATAAGATATCCAAAGTGAGGGCCAATGATCCAAAAGTCACCAATTAGCAGCCCCGCACTAGTCGACCGACCGCGTTTGCGGGAGTCTTTTCAACAAATATACCCAGTGGCTTGATTCATGGCCGCGATGATCTGATCTGATGACAGGATCAGGTTTTTATAGCATTTAGGTTTGCATGGTTTTTATAACGAGGGAAAGGGGAACATTTTCCTGAAATATTAAATCCGCTCACTGGTCATAATTAGAGTTACCATATTTTCAATTGCAGTTTCAAGTACTTTGTGGCCTCTAGAACCGCCGCAAAACCATGGCGGGATTCCAAACCATTGCCGCTATGACAAAACCCAACGCGACTGACTTTTTAGCTGCCACAAACCAACAGTGAGCTGCCGTCGTAACGGAAGCAAATCGAATACCACCAATTTTGCTACCGTAACCACGGCATGTCGCTGTGATGGCAGGGTTGCCCATGATGGTGATAAACATTGGGTAAGTTGGCAGTTTGGGTGGATTTTGGGTTAGGTTTAAGTAGATATAATTACGCATGATAAGCTGAAATATTGTACATGACTTTGTAAATATACCGGTAATAGCGCCATAAAACCCTGGCAGGAGACGACGTGGTACGCTCGTGGCAGGAGTTGCCATGAAGTGGTAAAAACTGCGGCACCATATTTTGGTCACCTCAAAGCGGGACGCTTCCGAAGACCATAGCTTTGATTTTATCAACTTTAAATTTTTAAAACCATCCCGGCTATCTTCAGTGACTATATTGTCATTGAGAGTTCATGCGCTGTCTGTCTAAATATCGGTTTCAGTTCGAAAAATATAAAATAATTTATATCAACGTTAAGCACTCTTTTGGCGTACGGGGCTTACACGTAACAAATTGTAGCAACTGTCCGTTAATAATGTTAGTGGAAAACAACGAAACAAACAAAATTACGCATTCACCTACACTCCCACAGTAAGTAATCTACCAATACGCTACACAGCAACGAGAACATGCTAATTGGTAATATTTGGCTTTTGGCTGTCCGTCGGGATATGACGTTAAAAATTGAAACTGTCCCGCCTAAAACGGGAAGTATGGTAAGCCTACTCACTCATATGTGGACGGAAATATCAATTGAAGATCTCTTATAACTAGATATGGTATGTGCAGAGCCAGTGGCGTAGCAAGACTCTCCTGGGCCCCCCCGCAAAATATTTCGTGGGAATAACCCTAAAAACTCTTGGACATAAGCTAAAACAACCCTTTTTTTCATTTCGTCAAAAAGCTTAACCAGTCGCTATTAAACGGCAATGGTAACCTAAAACTTGCCGTTTATCTTGGTTACTTTTTTTTCATACGTGCTTCCTCTTCTGCCCTTTTTCTGTGTTTCTGTGCGCCACTGAGAGGTTTTTCTTTCGACACCATTTTGACAGCCTTCGTAATTTTGCCGGTGCGATCAAACCACAAGACGCCGAAAATCAACGACTCCCTGGCATTGTTACGTAACAAAACGATTTGAGCTGAACTAACGTCAACGTTACAAGATGTGCATTACTAGTTTTGCAATGCAGCTTTTGGTTTTGCGGCTTTAATTTCCTAATCTAACCGCTTGGGCCCCTTTTCGCTGTGCCCCCCCTCCCCGCAACCGCAGGGGTGGATGCTACGCCACTGTGCAGAGCTTTATCGGGGCAAATGTAAAAAAGGGCGTAAATCGAATCGCGAGTCCAAGGAATGCATGGATTCGAATCAAAATCTCTGCCCATCCCTAAAGCCTTGCATGATTTTCTAAAATGAGTGAACCCGCCGTTAGACATCGTTCCTACATTATCGAGAAATCCTCGGTGTGCGTACCAGTTCTATTTAGTGGACATAACGATCGTTTTGTTGTTCTTTGACACGTTTTGAAGAAATCGCTTTTCTCTTTGTTCACTGGACCAATTGCTTTGAAATTTTCAGTGGTTAAAGATAAAAAAAATTTTCAGAAGACTATTACTTTTTTTTTGCTATGACGTCATCAAAACTATTGCTGTTAGGTGGCGCTACGTGTCCATATATTTGAGCCAAAGTGTCTATAAACCAAGTGGAGACACCGAGTACAATGATGCATATCGGACGTCATTTTGTGTCCAGCGAATCGGGTGAACGCGCATCGTCGGTTTGCTTTAGCTTCGTCAGAAGGTCTCGTTCGTCAATTTGTTTGAAGATTTTTTACTGTTTTGCATTTTATTCGTATAATTTAATTATTTTTCTTTTGCTACTTGTCTCGTGGAATCATACTGGTATCGTGCGATTTCGTGAAAGTTGCGATAGTTATCTTATCATCCCGTGTGAGTTATGCAACTTTGAAACCTCATATCTCACGAACCTTATATTATATGCAGATAAGTTTTATATTGTTTGAAAGACAATCTAGGGAGATATTTATAATTATGAGATGGAGATGAAATGTCGCGATTATCATACAAAAATCGGCAAAATTGAAAAGCGTGAACTTTTTTTGAAAAGCTTTTGAATTAAATGACAAAAACTTCGATTTGCTTGTTTTAACCTAATAAGACATCGACAAATTTACAGAGGTTAAGAATAGCTTTCGACATTAGATATAATTTGTCGTGCACCAGTAAAGTTGAAATAAAGTTATTTCATTCATTGTTCTCCAATCCGTGACATGTCCACTGCGCCAACTTGAGTTAAACAGCAACGTTCCCTAATTACTTCCTTACGCAATTACGTAGCAACGTTCCTTATGAAAAACACATATCGCTTTCCTTCGCAAGTGTGAAACGTCATTAACCTAATGCATACGTATAAATCAGGTACTATTTGAATTGGTATCATGATACCTGTTCACACCCTGCCGAAGTTTAAATCCTGCGATCTCATCATGGCTAGCACATTGTGCGGCCCAATGAATTTCATCGAAGCATGTACATTATAAGGTACAAAATTTAAAAATCAGCCGCCGCGACTGGTGTTGCAGCTCTTATCAACTTATTACAGTATTGGCAGGATATTTCGATTCTTTTGCGTCGGAAAATGTAAAATATTTACTAGGTGATCTAGCGACGCCATCAAGTCTTCTACGTTCTCGTTGATAAAACTTAATTGTGATTTTATCGATATCCATCAGTGAAAAATTAGCCTTGATGTTTCCGGGGGAACCCTATAAAGACACGGGGTTCAAATTGTTTGTTTGTTTCTATGGAAAGTGTCAATCTCCATGAATGCCCACAATCGTTACTAACTCTTTTTAGGTCTTACACACCTGATAAATATTTGAAAATTGATAGTATTACCCAATGTTTAAGCCACCCGTCCAAAAAAGCAATCGTATTTTGGCGCGAAGTATAAACTATATTTCGCGCAAATATTAATGCCTTTCCTAATATATGTTTGCCTGTTACTTTTCTGACAGATAAAGTTGCTTGAAATATAATTTCCCATCTTGCCACAATATCGCTTTTAAAATCTTGAAACGTTTTCTCAATTTAAGGTTAAATATTCACGCAAAAGAGGAAACAAATAAAATTATTGAATAACGGTATGCTAGTAGACCTGCGGCAAGAGCTCAAGTCAAATAGATAATATATTATTTTATACACTCCAGATTATTAGATGTTCTTGTAAACTTGATATACGCCGTTATCCTTCATTCCATGCATGTAGTTCATTTTTTTAATATTATTTTGGCAATGTAAACCTTGTTGAAAATTTGCGATACGCATATTTTAATATCATGACATGTACCGCAAAAATAGTGCAAGTTTCTGTGGTATAATTTGTATTGTAGTTCTGTCAGTTTGTTAAAATAGATTCTGTGCAAGTAGCGATACTTACATCAGGAATTTTACATTAATTTAATAATAAAATGTGTATCTTTTTGTTTAATATTTTGGTCTTATTGGGTTGTTGACTTATCGAGTGAGGTTGGATGACCCTAACCTTAACTTCGTATATGCTGATCATACCGCCGAGCCGAGTTATCCGAGAAACATCTGCGGATAATTAATTTTCAGAAGAATGTTCATTCGTTTTGCCGCTGCGAAAGTTTGGTCCAAATGATTGAGCATCGTTTTTTTTAATCAGCTGTTCAACGATCGCAGGTTTAAATCACTTAGTTATGATTATACAGCGATAGAACTCTGGACACAAAATGGCTGGTGTGACGTCACACACCAATGCATGTCCTCACTTGGTTTATAGTCACTTTGATTTGAGCATAGCTCTCTTGTCGGGTTTATATTCCTAGTTTGTCAGAAATACCGATTTCGGTCGTCGTTATTTAAGATTCCAAATGGAAAGTTTCCTTCTGGCTAACGAAAAGCATGCCAACTTCCCGCACACACACACACTGCTTCAAATCTACACCCCAGCCTCATTACAAACGAGACCTTCAGTTCCAAAATTATGTTTATTGGACACGTTTAGTGGCCATAACGATCGTTTCAATATTATGTTGTTCTTTGACACGTTTTTAAAAAATCGCTTCTTCGAATACTGGACCAATTGCTTTGAAATTTTCAGTGGTTAAAGATTAATTTATTCGCTAGAAGGCTATTACTTTTATTTATTTCAAAATTTTGCGTGAATTCTATGAAATTTGATATTTCGTCTAAAATTTTGCTGTATTATTTTTTATCCATGGGAACACGGATTTTAGTCAGTGTCATGACTGGCTGTACGTTTTGATTCTGCAAAATTCTTGCTACTGGAAATTCATAACTTTTTTGAGGGTACCGGTAGCGTCAAAGGTACCGGTAAAGACCGATTCGCTCTGGTCTAACGTGTCCATATATTTGTGCGTAGCTCTCTTGTATTCTTAGTTTGCATGTCATTATCGTGGAATCCAATCCGGAAGAAAATATATTTTCATCCAGATCGAGGTTTCTTTGCAATCAATTTCTATGGATTTTGTGTGATGTTGATTTATCGCACGAATAAATCAGCTAAAAAAGCAATCCAAATCCCCCCCTAATCTTCTGCCGAAATTTACTCTTACGACCTACACCGTATTCCCATTACAAAGGAGACCTTGCATTTCCATGTTCTTGTAGCATTTTTATGCAACTTTGTTATTACAGATAAAATTCGCAAGAAATTTAGCACTTACCATAGAAGAAATTGTAAAATTACTTGTGGTACCTTATCACAACTACACAATGAAAAATTCATTATCAAGTGGACTGACATTTAAACAAATCGCAGAAAAAGTACATTTAAAGACGCATCAAATAGCATTCAGGCAGTTTAAATAACGAAATTTGCGTTTAATAAATTCATCATTAATTTCAGAAATCACTAAGCGAGAAAAACCGGAAAATCACTAACTTTTTTCACACACAAATATATATATACAAGCGGATATACAAGATTAATAATAAAACGTCTATTTACATGTAGCGGCTCCCACGATTCAGCATTCAAAATATACAGTATGAGGCACCAAGATATTATTTAACAATCATGAGTTGAAGGGAGGGCGACTAAAGGATGTAATAAACTGGCGAGATGATGTTGAAAAAAAACTTTTTCGCAAAAACAAACACATTTTAATGCACAGAAAAATGTTCCTGAAAGAAAAAATGCGCGATTATAAACTGAATTTGAAGTTACAAAACACTTTCTTGAAAATTACGCTTCACAGTGGCTAATATGTCAAAACGAAGCGGTGAAAAACATTATTATATAACGCGAAGACATTATTATTTTAAAACAAAACGGCAGAACATTTTATTAAAGGACAATTTAAAGCAGAAACTATCTCAAATGTGCGAAAACTTCAAATAGTATTTAGATAACAGGCAAGGAAAATAGTTATAAAAACGCATTCATGGTAAATTTATCGCAAAAATACTAAAACAACTGAAATGAAATTAGACATATAAGGGTGTTTAAAACAACGCCGGCTGTGAATGATCATTGATAGAAGACCTAAAGAAAAACGTTAGACATTCGACAGAAAACAATTTATTCAGTGTATCTTTACATGAACTGGCAAAAAATTCAAGAGGAAAAATGTAGAAATCTTCACGAGAAACGCTGGCGAAATACTGGCATCATAAAGACATGAAATCACGAAACGATGAATTGAAATCACGGTGAATTGAAATCATCAGTATAAATGCATTTGGCATAGACATCAATCCTGTATGTTACATAGGTAAAAAGAAAAACAATCACATTTAATCTCTGTAATTAGGTTTTCTGCCTCTTGGACCGAGAAAAGCAGACTTATAGCAATGCTTTAAATTCTATGTATTTTATATGCAACAAGTTTACTCATCATGATTTAATTAAAGCACCTACTGATAAGCCTAAGCAAATATATATTTTCGTTGCAAAAGGGCAACCAACATGAACTTTGCAATGAGTAAGATCAAAAACTCAGGGCAAATAACAAAGTTGCATGAAGTTCTCGATAATAATTATTCAATGATTTGATTTTCTTGAGCTTAAAAAACTTTGCAGCATTACAATGTTAAATAAAACACTATATATATCAATTTGGAATTATCGAACGAGCATACTGGCTCATAGAGCAGAGCAGGTCCAAGAGGTTGGTTATATTGTAGCAAAAAAGTTCTAATTTTAACAATGGCGGTGCGGTCAGTGCTGTACTCCATTGTTAATAAAGAGTAGTCAACTTACAAGGCGAAAACCAGAAAACTAAAATAATATCAGGGAATAAAAAGTTTATTACTTGTTTGTCTAAAATAAACCAAAAATACTTTTACACTCTAGGTGTGAGGCAATGGGTTTTAATATGTTTTGACGTTACATGCGATATTTTTATCAGGTTGACCTCATATGACCTAGAAATATAAAAACTGTTTGTGGCCATCAGCCCGCTACAGCCTTACCCTTTCATATTTCTGTTCCGGTTAACAATGCAATAATTTTTAACTGTTAATTCCAAAAATTTTGTCTCTCATTATGCAATATGATATCTTGATACTACTCAAGGGCGCTGTTATAAAGCTTTCGACATTCCATAAAAACAGACCAGTTTATCAAAATCTAACAGTACACTTGGCGAAACATGTATAAATAAATATACGCTACACTATTGTTATTATTATGCATAACAGTGATTTCCATTTTCAATATAACGCTATAAACGTAAGCACTAAAACAACTTATATCATGATATTTTTTTGTATAAAAAAGACATAGCGAGGAAACAGCATTTAAAAAAACTTGCGCGAAATACTATAAACGATTGATGTTACATAATAATTACTCACTTTGAAAACAACAGTGGAAAGAAACATCACTGATTTACTAGAAGTCATTCACGTATGATTGAATGGTGCATATTTTAGAGTTTGAAGTTATTATTTTTAAAAATTTACGCTCTTTTAATCGCAGCCTGCTACAAGTATCGTTTCAACATTATTTACACAAAAATGGGGCAGAGAAGCAGCTCACTAGATATAATGAGGTGCAAATAAACTTTTTGCTGAACAAATTACTTCAAAATTGCTATTAATTACAACAAAAATTTTCAGCTTGGAGTACAAATTTTACGCTATTAAAACCACCAGTCATTTTTTTATTTTCATGTATAAAATTTCATAACAGATGAAAATTTTTACTTTCAGAGTCAGTTTGTAATTGAATTTAGATACGTTTTTATATTTGAAAACTATACCGCCACATTTCTTATTGACAAATCATTATTGTGGTCACAAAAATTTCAATGCAATGTAAACGAGTATTGAACCGTACTGGATGAACAAATAAATAAATTTCCGAACAAAAATTTGTTTTGAGAAACCCTACGTCTAGCAAGCTGCTACCTATACCCCATGTTAAAATAAAAAACACTATTTACAGCTTTTATACAAGGCAGCACAGAATTCTATTTACATACAAACGAATGTTATTATTGGCAAGGCACGTTTATCAGATGTTTAATACATTTATAGACAATATCGTGATGCAATAATTGCACTCACCACAAATATTAGATTACACCTCATTTATATATGGATTGCACTCAACTACTGGACTTAATACTCAAGACAGGTGGCCACAGTTTCCTTCAACATACTTACCATACCCTCATTGGCCCTCAAAAGGGCGTTTTTTGAACTACCGACAGGGCAGTGTCACCCCCCCAAAAGACTTTTTCAAGTTCTATTAGAAGAATATCAGCCCCAGGCAACTCAAAAGCAATCTAAGACTATTAGATAGTTCTTTTACAGTTTTGCATTTAAAGTTTACCCCCTTCAACAATAACTTCTGGTACGTTTCGATTTCGCTTTTTCCGCTGCCACAAGAGGTCGTTCTAAGTCTAGAAGATTGGCACGGAGAGGCACAAGAACGAGGCCTGAGTTCAGAAAATAAAAGAATAATCAGTTTATGCGAAGAAATTGCATGAAAAGTCCAAAATGCGAAGAAATTGCATAAAAAGTCCATAATGCACTGAAGAATATTTTGACGAGGAAATTTCATGTTGAAAACGAACAGCAAAAATAAGAAGTAGGTATGTTATATGAGAGAGTAAAACGAAACCGGTCAACATAATCACTGAAAGGCACTGTTTAAAATTGCAACAAATTAAACATGCATTTTCAAGAAGCTTGGAAAACTGTTGTATTGTAGACCCTGTTGCTGCTGCCGCATCCCTTTGAATCTAAACTTATACCATGAATATGGAAAAGACGACAATAGAATATGCAGATACAAGCATTGGTATACTTAGTAACACCAAATCTTATGTACGAAATTGTTTAGGCAAGGCAATATTCTAGACCAAATAATTTCAATGCTCGCATATTTGTAAAAAAGAAATGATATTATTTGGGCTTATATTTTAATCCTCCTCTTCGTAAATAAATATTTGCTGTTTAATCTCCAGACATGAGAAACAACACTTCAAATACTCAGATTTTCAAATGTGAAAACATTCTCTTGCCATTTTCCAATATTAACAGATTTTACCCATTAGATTATCCTAATATATCATAATATTTCCGGTAGGTCCTTCAAATGGGCGAAAAAAAATTAGGTAAACATTTTCAAAAGAATTAGTAAATTTCCAAAAGTTAGGTAAATCAGAAGAATGACACTGTGCGTTATTAACCATAAGTTGAATTTATAAATTTCATAATTTAGTAAAAAATATCAGCAGATTTGGCTGAATGTCATTTCACACACAACTAATCCACTTATTTGAAAAATAGCATTTGTGAATACAATCATGCAAAATATTCTGCTATTATGTTGCTAAATAAAAATATTCATCAATACACTGCATGTTTGCTTAAATCTGACAATAACTGCATTGCTACATGAATTCATCATTCTACTTGATACATATTTTAAAATGTTGCATTATTCAATTGGTGGCGCTCCCTTAGATAGTGCACCAAGATGGCGCACAATCTAGTGCACCAAGATGGCGCACAATCTGAACCCTAACTCGATACACACACTTGTTCAGGTTGTGCGTCATCTTGGTGCACATAGTTCAAGAGCACCCAATTGATTACGTAAACAAACACTAGTACACCTCTATATTCGGAAGATGTTTCGGAAGAACTTCTAAAAAAATCTAAGAATAAGAGTACCAAACATTTCAAAAATTAAAATTACATTTAGTGGGACTAGCAATGTTTAAACAACTGTGATCGAATGGCCTAAGTCAGCAAATATGTAAAAATAACAGCATTGCATTCTTATCATTAGCGAATCTGAAAACCTAAAATTATGACTCATGGACACAGTAACATGTATATTGAATATTATACGGTAAGGACAATAGTTATGTTTCCTATCTACACCAAAGCAAGCATTAACATATTTAATTGCACTGGGATATCTACAGTAAGATAGGCGTTCAAGTAGTATGTGAACCAAGATGGCAGACACCGGAACGCAAAATGTGTACCAGGTTAGGGTTAGGCCATAAATTTTATACCAATTTCCCTTATTTTAGTTCTATTGCAAGTTCAGGGACAAGCCAAGTGACTGCCATAGTATTTGTACCTGAAATTATGGCCCAACCCTGACCTGGTACACATACTACGTTCCGGTGTCCGCCATCTTGGTTTAATACTTCGGGAGTACCCAAAATGTAACATGACAGATCAATCGTTTCCAGTAAGTTATCAAGGTATTTACCAAAAAAATCATAGTTTACGTTCGAATTTCTGAAAAAAGGACTTTTGCAAAGAATGCACTGAACAGAGATATACAACTTTGACAAAATTTTAAGCAAAAGAAATTCTCGAATAATTAAAATCTCATTAGCAGGTAAAGAAGACAACATAATTTATCTCACAAAGTAGCCATTCCCTGCCTTTTTATATTGATACACAGATAAACAGATGCAATACACTATTTTGAACCCAGTTATAATTTTTTTTGAGATTGTCAGCTGAGAATTGGAACCTTTCTGATGAACATAAGGGCCGAAGAGCCCCTAAAAGACCAACTTACGGCCGAGGGACATTTTTAAAATCTTATGTTTTAACCAATTTTGCTCAAATATAAACAATATACTAATTGTTCATAAAAAAGTTCTTGAAATATATATTTTGTTTATATTTAATCAACCAGGTCTTGGTAAAATGAAAACAGGCAGATCATAGAATGTGTAATTACCATAAACTGATATTAGGTTATAGACGTTATTAAACTCAATTAAACTTGTGCTAACTTTCAACGCTTATAATTTGGCAAACAGCAATTCTTACCAACATATTATGAGAATTACACTAGCAGACACTTAAAATTATCAAAAAAAAAAATCTAATATAATACAAAAAATGTCAAAATTTTGAGGCATCTGTCTGATAATTTAAAAAAAATGATACTAAAATATGTTTTCTTCATTTGCACAACAAATAAATTGCTTTCAACGAGAGACACCGACATTTATGGTAATATTGGTTTATTATTATTTAAAGAGGACGCCAAATTTTTTTCAGTGTTTCTACAGTGAGAAAAAAACAAATAAATTTATTTATTAGAAATGATACTGTTCGATGTGTATTGATATAAAATAAGCATGAGATTCAAGATATTTTTAAGTGAGAATAACAAAAGTTCTTTAAGAAAAAAATTGATAATTTTATTTACAGTCAATATTCAATACAATTTTTTTAAATACAAACATATTTTTTTTTCATGTAATGTAAAATATGTCAAAATTGAGTGGAAACCATAGACAGGATATGCATGTGTTATTATCTCGAAATGTCTACAAGAGAGGAGCAGTGGAAAAATTTTTTTTGTATGTTACAAAAAAACAGCAACAGCTTTGAATGAGTTGATAAAAAAGATAATTGACAAGTTTATGATCTAGTTTTAGCACCAAGAAAACATTTCAAAAACGAAAACTACGGCTTTGGAAAGGTATATGGATTCTTAATTAATGATATATAAGCAGGGTTCTGATAACACTCAAGTGTGATAACTGATAAATACACTGATTAGTTGATAAATTCATTGATTAACAATATATAAAGTTAGGTATTGTTGGAATAATAATTTCAGTAGACGACCATATTCCCTACATCAACCGACGCTTCAAAAGTCAAAGCGACACACACAAACTAAATTCTGAAACGCTTAGATTCATTCATACAAGGTGGATCCCCCTCCCCCCAAATTAAAATTCTACATACCTCTGCCAGTTGGGTCCTGCTGCTATTTACAATTTCTGTGCTGCCGTGGTTCAACTTACTGCCCGGGGGCAGTAGGTGCCGGTGTGCCTGCCGGGTATTGGACCTGTTGTTGTTGATAGTATTGCTGGCATTGCCTGTAATATTCAGCCCATGCTGCGCTGTAATCCGCTCCTCCTGCAGCCTGTAAACAGATGAAAATATTTGAGACTGAAGATAATTGGATGGAGCAGGGCTTTCCAAACTGGGGGCCGCGACCCTGTAGAAAGGCGCGTAACAAATTTTAGGGGTCGCAAAGAGTACACCAATTTCACATAAAGTACTATATTTATTGTACATTTTTAGTTGTTTGATTCGAAACTTAATTATTAAGAACTAGTGCAAAACATAAATTTCCCAATTTCAAGAGGATACATAGAATTGGAGAAGCGGTGCGCTTGCATAACAATACAGACTTAAATAGGGGTCGCGAGCTTAGCAGTTAGGGAAGCCCTGGAGGATATTGGACTAAGTCAAAGAGATCACTAAAAGTTGAGAGTCCATTAAAAAAGTGGTTTTGCCCATGCTGCTCTCGATCGGCTCCCCAATGTAGCCTGTGGTCAAATAGAAGATATTAAGTCTGAAGATCACTAATTGGATAGAAGTTATCGTGCAAAATTCGAAGATTACTATAAGATTCTTTCAAAATGTAGTAGACGCAACCGTAAGTTATGTTAAACACAAATTAATATAGAAGGACCTTTAGATTTCTGTAGTTGTCATGAATTTGTATATTTATGTGACGGAAGTCATTATACGCCGTAGAAGTTGGCTCTTTTAACGAAAGTGTGTAATCGCAACTGTTTCAGAAGGGAATAGGAATTTTCTATTTTGAACCCCCCCCTCCCACTTTGGAAAATTCTGGCTACGACCCTGGCTGGGGTCATAAAATGAGTAATTCCCATATAAAACTAAACAAGAGAGCTATGCTCAAATATATGGACACGTAGCGCCACCCAATGGCAATAATTTTGATGACGTCATAGTGAAAAAAAAAGTAATAGCCTCCTGGAGAAAAATTTTATCTTTAACCACTGAAAATTTCAAAGCAATTGGTCCAGTATTCGAAGAGAAAGGCGATTTTTTAATGATAATGACGAAAGAAAATAACAATAACAAAATTTTGAAACGATCGTTATGGCCACTAAACGTGTCCAATAACAAAAATGGATCCTTCGATTTTGATCTGTTAACACATACCGTGGTTGCTGCCGGTGCTGCAGCTGGCGCAGCTACGACTGCTGGATTTCCTGCTGCTGCGGCTGCTGCCTGAGCCTCGGCTGTAAAAATGAAAGAGACTGGTGAAGCAAATGTCCCATTTGGACAATTAAAAGCAGATTCAACAAGAGCAAGAAGGAATAAATTGAGTTTTTGTTATAAATTTGTATTTTCAAGAGATTGGCATCTTTCATTCAAAACTAAAATTCATACTATTCCCGATCAGTAAGGTGGAAACACCAGGTGAAATAACCTTTTCAAGCAAAGAAACTGGGAAGAGTAGGGTGTTTTTTTGTCAAAGGAAAAGTAAAATCAGTTTTGCGTATAGCATTGTGGCCCTCTTGGGGGGACACCTGACTAGGAAATGCTGAACTCAATGATTCTTCTAAACAACGTAGTTCCACATATAACAGTGACTGCTAGACGATGGATAGATACATTGTATAGATCACTGGTCGGCAACCTTTTAGCATTGAACAACCATTTGGCATCCTTTCTAACAAACTCAAATCTACTCAGAGCTGCAACATCTACTCAAATGTGAGTAGCTATTTAGAACTCTCAGAAAACCACTTTTGGAGCAATATTCTAGTTCTTACTAAGAAGCCTAACAATATTACACATGATGCATAATTCAGTTTACGACGAAATGAAAAGAACTTTGAAAAAAAGGTTTGTTTTGACAGATTCGTATCACCAGCCAGAGTTCCGAGAACAAAGAGCCACAGGTTGCCGATCGCGGAAATAGATGAAAAAATAATATCTTAATTAGCTCTCACCTTGTTTCTTATAGTATTCCTCCCATGCTTTCGTGTAATCAGGCTGAGCAGCTTGTCCTTGAATGGCTGCTGCAGCGGTCGGTGCTGCTGCTGTCGAAAAGACATTTTGATAAACTCAAGAATGATGATTGATAAATTTACTGATAAGCTGATAAATATTTTGATAACAGATAAATGTATTGATAAGCCAATAACGTTTTGTCGATAAATCATAAGGTAAGGCCATATGGAAGCAGGGGCTTGATAACACTCAAAGATTGATAAGATTGGTTGGTCAACATAATAACAAAACGATTCATCCATAGGTCCACTCCATTTTTAAAATATATAATGATTTTTGCTCTCGTCAATGCCCAAAATCTTTTCGATGTTTGGAACAATGTCTTCATCCTCCTCTTGCCTTCTCCACGGCGTTTTGGACATGACTAGTTTTGTTAATTTGTTGCCTAATTTTTTTTGTCTGGCCCAGCTGTGTGTTGGTTATGACACGCTGACAAAATGTTGCACATCCCCCGGCCTAATTACATATTCAAATAAATAATGGAAACTGATTTGAAAGCATTTCAATAGAACGATTGGGGGCCACAAATCATTAAAAAAGGGCCGGGGGCCACAAATTGCTTTTAAAGGGATGGGGGGCCACAAATTGCTCTGAGGAATGGAAGCCACAAATCCGTGAAAAAAGGCCGCAGCCCATAAAATGCTGAAGTTAAAAGAATATTTCACTCACCCGCAGCTGGTTGATAGGCTACAGCAGTAGGAGTAGCAGCAGTTGGTTGTTGTCCTTGTGCCTGATGTAGATAGTTGTAATAGTTCGTCCAGGCTGCAGCGTTAGCATCTGGAGGTTTGGCTGGAAATATATAGGTTTTTGTTAATTGCCTGTGAAGTGTGAATCATTATAAACAGTTTTTTTATCTGTCCCTGATTTGAAATTATATTGTGGAACTTACACAGAGCTACCAACATCGGGCTCTGGATATGTGATGATGCGAGAATATGATGTAACAGATTTTCACAGGAAAATCCTCATACCACTCTAATCAAGGCCCTATACACGAAAAAAAAATTTTGGAAGTTTCCATAGAGGTAACAAAACAATAATTACTCTGGAATCTGGATATATGATGTGGGAATATATACGGATTTTTATACACTCTGAAACGCTTTTTGGATATGTGAACGTGAAACTTTAATTATGGCAAGGAATCCGGTCAGAACAAGGCTTTTGGTATGTAGACACCAACATGGCTTACGTTTTTTGGAAAACTGAGTTGTCCGATTTGGGATACCCTACAATATATATTGAAACCCGGGCAGGCTGGCCCGAACACACCAAAATGTAAAGCAAAAAGATGCTGATCAAAAAATTTATTACAATTCACAATTCAGCTCAGAAAAAAATTTGTCAAATCATTATGCAATCTGAACCACAGGGTTGTATCATCATTGCTGAATTAAATTTTAACACTGAATAGGCCCACAGACAGCTTGTGGGTGCTGTAAGTGAACAAGGATGGCCAAAAATGGGTATATTTCAGTATGTGTACCAGGTTAGGGTTAGGCCATAATTTTATTCCTAGTTTCCTTATTTTAGTTCTATCAAGTTTGTGGACTGTCTGTGTTAGCCAAGTGAATATACCCCCCCCCCCCCCCATAGGTTTCAGAACTTGATTTACCTCCATATTGGTACACATACTTCTGAATTCTAATATTGTCAATGTACTATTGTTATGATATTTTGAGTATTATCTTAAAATGAATTATTCGTAATTCTTACGTGGGTGCCTACAAGAGTGCGGCCATAATATTTCACGAAAAGGTAAAATCAAAACTGAGCGCCAGAAATGCAATTCACAATACCGTAAGGCGTTTGAAGAACTAAACATTGTGTGTTGTTCACAGCAAAATTCCAAGTTACGTGTAGCTCCCCTCCCATTGCCAGCCAGACGTCGTTTGGTAAATATTTTACAGGCCCTATTTCAAACATCTACTAATCGTAGACTATTATGACCCCGTAATCAGTTTTTACTTGCAGGCAAAAATAATGACTGTATAACCATGCACGTAAGACATAGTGATCAAAAAATCTGATGGCAACACTCCTTTTAACCGTGTAGGAATTTAAATCTTACAAAATGACATATTACAGTAAAATTTACTAACTAGGATCTTGAGGTGCAGCGCCATTTTGCTGAGGTCCAGGTTGTCCAGGCCATTGTCCGAACTGATTCGGGGCGCCACCTGCCCATGGTTGCTGTCCGGGGAACTGCTGGGGTGGTTGGTTCTGCTGTTGTGGGGGTCCTTGGTGAGGTGGCCCTCCAAACTGTGGGCCTGGTGGTGGCCCTCCGAAGTTACCCTGGAAGAGAGAAAACATCGATATCAAGAAAAAAGCATTTATGCAGAATTCACTGATACGAGACAAGTAAAATAATATCGTTTATAATCTACGGCAAGAGTCGTTAAATTACTGTCGGCAAAAAATTATGACTTTACTTTTTATGGATATAAATATATGTTGAAAATAACGATGAAAAAAAATCATGACCCGATTGTTACATTGCGTTTATTAATATTATACAATCGATATATTATTCATAGATTTGGGCCTCCAGCCAAGTAACAAGTCTATATTATCTGTAATTGGTCCACTCGGAAACTGTTACCCTCTCCTGGTCTACGATATGAATATTAACCATGTCTGTGGTGGCGGCTTGAAACTCTTCGCTTAACATTTGCATTTTTATAATAACATGCGCAACCTTGCTTTAAATAATGAAATCCCTCCACGCAGAGATATTTTTTAGAAATTGGAGCTTTTTTATTAGTTATCATTATTAATTTTTACTACATAAAACATATCCCATTTGAAACCCTTTGTTTCAAAAACAAATTGAACTTGTCATTTTATTTCTATTTTCTAACGTAACTATTGACCAGTTATCAAAAATTTCTCAGAAAAAATTGGTTGCAGTCACATCACAAATATCAGAAGCAAGACTGGCAAACAACCTATATCATCATTGAAGAGCATAAGTAATTTGAATCAAGTTAGAATATGACCTCCTTCGGCCGAAGGCTTTTAGTCCCGCCCCCCTTTTTGTCATTCAGATGGTAGGATCCCCCCGCAAATGATGTGGACATTCGCAAACTATTACAATTATGGATTATGAAATTGTTTCTGTTTTTCTAATAAAGTATTTTTTTGCATTATTTGCACATTTTATTACAGTACCATACTTTACAATACATACGATATGTATAGAGTAATGCATATATGTTCCAAATTCGGGTTACACAGTCTCTCATGAACGGAACAACGTCGGTGTACTGTTAAATATTCATTTCTCTCACCTGCATTGGGGGTCCTCCAAATCCACCAGGTGGGCCTCCTGGTCCCCCATGTCCCGGGGGTCCATGTGGACCACCCGGACCTCCAGGGGGTCCCATGTGTTGCATTGGTCCCCCAGGGCCGCCTGGGCCACCCTCAACTTTTTCTGTGATCAGCTGTTGGGCATGATTGATCTGTTCAGGTGTTCCTAAAATGTTATTAAGTTACTCGAATCAGAAAAATTTATTTTCAACAAAAAATGCCAGCTTTATTATTAGGGTCTTTAATTCTACAAATTCAGAATTCACAAATATTTATCCAATTTAATTGAATAGGCGACTTTTTTTTCTTAACATTTTATTGATCTGCTCAGTGTAAAAAATCCATTCTCCACAGCCAATTTTGCAACCAGAATGTACATAAATTAAAATAGAACACATTCTTAAAATGAATCATTCTGTGTGAAGCAAAAGTCTCTCGTGTTTATTACTTAGACTCTCATAACTAACTGGGAGTCCTCAAATCGCTTGCAAATTAATATAAATCTGTGATTTTAACGTTCTGGATACCTCCAATTGTTACTTTATTACCACAGTTAAGCATGCTATTACCACAGTTAAGCATGCGTATATTCGCAACAATTCAATTGTACCAGTATCATACAGACCAGTGCATGTATCGCCCCTAGCGGGCGCTCCCCCTTTCTTGACCCGCAAATATCCTTCTGCTTTTAATTTTGCCCCCGGCCAATCAACTTTTAGTACCATTGAAATAAAATAATTTGAATGTTTCGAAAATTTAACTCAACCAACCAACTTACCTTTTATGATAAAGGTCTTGAAATTTGGATCGCTTCCTGGCGGAGGATTTCTTTGGATTTCAACATGAGCTTGCGACTGGGAGTTGATCGTTCTAATGTTGTCACCACCTGATAAATAAGTTTCAATTGTTGATGAGATTTTGAAATCTAGATTTAACAACCATGGGAGCCACAAGGATAGTTCTTTGCACTTCAGTGGTCTATCGTAACTTTGCAACCTCTGTTTCAGAGTAAGCATGTATCCCCTTACTTCGAGAAACTTTCTTGATCTGGTCAAGCTGGAGGATTCCTACCAATATCTTGAAATGCTGGGTAGTCGAAGATGTTTAGAGATAAAATTCTACGAATCATCAGACAGGCTCATGCCTGTTTTTGTCTTAACACTTTATCCTCTCTTTCTCATCAATTCCACACACCTAAATGATATCCCCATATCCATCATGTACTGCGAGCCAGAGTCATCCACATGATTTAGCCATAATTTTTTCAGCGCGCTCCCAGATTTAATTTGAAAATCTTATCAAAAATAGCCAGACCATAACCAGTTACTTTCACTTCCGACTGAGTAATTTTCTTCAAAAAAAAAAAAAATGTACATAAAATCTACTCAAGTTATCAGAGAAAGCCTTACAAGTCAGACCCTCAGTCACATTCACTTAAGTGAGTATGAGCAAACTTCCTCATAAAAAAAAAACTAACCTTTTCCGATGACAAGACCAGTTTTATTGGCAGGGACATTAAATTCGACAGTGTTGATCCCCGGTCCACCTCTGCCACCAGGACCCATTCCACCCGGTCCTTCCCATTGTCCAAATCCTGCTCCGCCTCCTCGACCCCCTGGGCCACCCGGTGGTCCCCTACGACCTATAAAAAAAAATTCAAAATAAGTACGACTGCAAAGAAAGCTCAATTAATAATAGAGCAATTTGAGATGTGAGATTTTCCGAGTTCTAGGTGATAGGTAAGTGGGAATGCAGTACACCATAACACCAATACCATTTTTTGCTATCATACCAATAGGCTGACAAAACTGCCAGGCTGTGTGCTGCAGCCCGCTTTATGTTTTGTGATTTTGGTGCAACTGTTCCGGCCATCTACCTTCTTATTATGTATGTATCAAGTTATGCCTCCCGGTAGACATGGATGTTTTTTATTTATTGCAAGACTGCGCTGCGCCTTCTGTTTGACAAACTCAATAGCTATTGTGCGATCATTGGCAACGAGACTCTTTGAAGTAAACCATAGGACCAATTTTTTTTTTAAATATATAAATTAGCGATAATTAAGCTTTAATAAGTTGTATTTGTACACTAATATAACCAATCCTTAGATCTGTCCCTAATACCATAATCACACAAATACAAAAACGAGAATATCGGTCAGAGACCGAAGACCAATCGATCAAAACTGCAGTTTTGATTCGTGACTCTATAGTGACACCACGTGTCCCATCACTAATTAATTAATAACTCGCTAATTATACGACATAATTCATCTAAAATCAATAGGCTTCTGGTGCAGATTCAACCACACCTTCATGAGATATCGCATGCATCTAACAGACAGACAAACAGACAAATACCTATCAACATACTTACCGATCTAAAGATCGATAAGTAAAAAGTAGAAAATGGGTTAGGAATGGGTATTTCAGAATCAGCTGTCTAATTGCTAAATTTGCCATCAGTAAATGGTAGTGGATCGGTGTCCCCATTACCGGAAGTTACAGAATCACAAATAACATCATTTGGCAAATTAAATCCGCTGTAAGAACAGTTACTCAAATAAATTTTATTAAAAAAACAGGGACGAGAAAGATCTGTCCAATAAAAGTAGTTCCTAAACATGAAGTGGGTGCGTGTACGAAGAATTGTTCAAAATAGTCTATACTTTAAAATTCATATAAATTTTTCTTCGAATATTTCAGATGGATATTTGTCTCGTAAAAAACAATTAATGAAAACATTGTGTGTTTATTAACATTCTGCAGTACCAAACTAACCATTTAAAAATTGACAATGACATAAACATCATTCTATGCCGAGCATGACCCAATTTAGAATAAATTCAACACCAGGAGCGCAGCCAGGAACTTTCAAAGAGGGAGGCTCTAAAATTTTTGACTGCCCAGTTAGACTGTAACAGCTAGCGACCCGAAGGCCTAAAAACGCGAGTCTTGAGTCAAAAAACGTTTCAAGCTACTAAAAGTTGCTATGTATTGTACAAAAAAGTGCTTTTTCTTTACAATTCAAATGAGTTATGAGAGTCTAAAAAGCAGTTCAAGCTACAAAAAAATTGCAATGTAAATGCAATGAAAAACCTTTTTTTCACATTTAAAAAAGAGGGCCAACCTGGATACCCCTACTGTGTCTCTTATCGGCCCACCTTTGATTTCACCCTCTTGTGCTAGCACTAATGTTAACAGTCAAGACAAAATAAACTGTTCAAGCAATCTGGCTTACCTTGTCCACCGCCACCCATTCCATTGTCGTGTTCATGTACACTCTGAATAAGTTCATTGATTTTATGAATTGCTTCTTGTACGCCCTCGTGTGTTCCGCTGATAGTGCACATCCTGTGTCCTACAGATGGATCGTCTATAAAAAAAAGTATAGTGTTAAAAAGGTTGATTGGCTAACAGGCATAAGGCTCAATTGGGAATTATTGTGTCCATGCATCATTCTGAGAATTCAGAATTAGATTGCCATTTCTTGCTGTTGAGGTTGGAAACCATGAATTAATCCAGTGGTTTTTAAACTTTCTAGGCCACGCCCCCTTTTTAGAATTCATCGAGTCTCGCGCCCCACCTCAAAAATAATCGGCTAACAATAGGCTACAAATAACAGATAGAGCAAAAAAATTTTTTTTTCAAAAATTGTGTTGAAAATACGCGAATGGAACGTAGATAATGAAATAAATAAGCTTTAAATTTACGTTTCCAAAATAAGGCGAACAAGAATAAATATAATTTTTTTTAATTAGCTTCAATCCCTTCTTAAAAACACGCCCACTTTTGTTGAATTTAAAATAAAAATATTTGTAGATTTGTTCCATTAACGTATTTCCAACGTGTTTTGAATAAAACATACTTTCGCCTTAGTATCTGTTATTTGTAGCTTATTGTTAGATAGTTATTTCTGAGGTGGGGTTCGAGACGTAACAAATTCTAAAAGGGGGCGCTGCTTAAAAAGTTCGAGACCCCCTGCATTGATCATAAAATATACTGAAAGGAGAATAAAAACTCTGGCTCATATGAAAAACCCCAAATACCATAGGGTACCCACCATCTTCCTGCTTGAACTGCACTCTGGTTTGAGTCTCAGACTGGATTCTAGTTATCATGTCTCCGCCTTTTCCTATCACAACACCGACTGCCGGTTTTGGTACCGGGATCGAGATTCTGTGAGGTGCTCCCATGCCTCCGAACTGCTGAAAAGAAAAATTATTATATTTAGACATACACTGAGAAATTTCAAATAGCCTAAATGGGGATAATGACATTCGCAAATTTTGATATAACAAATTATTCTCAATCAAAGATTTTAAGAATAAGATGGCAAACTGTTATTTTTATTATATGAAATTGTTAATTTGAGATGCACTTTGAAATAAGATATCTAGGAAGCTCTTAGCAACTCAGTTGCCAATTGCAATTGTGTGCGAACTAATTTTAATAATTAGTTTCAAAATTCACAAAGCATCCTTATACCTATGAAACAGAATATGTGACAGTCAGACCTAAGAAAATGTAACAGATTGCAGCTTTTTAAAGCCTATTTCATTGCGAACAGAAAAAAAAAATCAATCTTACATCATTATTTCTTCCTCCGCCGCCGCCACCTCCTTGGGCTCTTTGTTGAGCTTTCTGTGCATCGTGTTGTGCCATCATTTGTTCGACAGCTTGTTTCGCATTCTAGATAAAAAAGTTTGATATTTATGTTTATTACGACCGAAACGCATGCACCAAATATGCGCAGATAAACTAAGATAATAATATGGGATGCAGTTTCTACTCCGGTATGTCTAAACCTTATCAAGTATTTGAATTACAGTAGAGGTGACACTGCTCAATAAACCAGCATCTTTCTTACATATGGTGTGAGAAATGTATAATTTTCGGCCTGTGATAAAATAAACAACTAACGAAAGCCCCCAAAATGAAATTTCCAAATACCAAAACGCATTTTTGTAAAAATATTGCTCCAAATAACGAAAAATGCTTTTAAATATAGAAGGCAAAAAACTGAAATTTAAAAAACGCGCAGCTGGTCGTTTAAGCAGGTGGGAAGCTCGGTTTGAAAGCGGCGAATCTGAGTCACACCATTAATTTTAAATTGAACAAATAGGAGTTTTTAAATTTCCTTTATCATTTGCCATCAGTAAATGGGTAGTGGATCAGTGTCCGCATTGCCACAGCTCCAGCATCACAAAATACATCATGTGGCAAACTTGAAACAAGAAGTCTAACAACTCAACAACTCATTTCATGGTTTCATTGGATAATTATAATTTTAATGAAATATTTGAGATCTTGATCAAGCAAATAATATCTTTATTTATTCCGCGTTACTTAATTCCATTTATACAAAATAACAAGGACTTGTGCAAATTCAGATTTTTTCCTATGACGCCTATTTCCATTCTGAACATGAATTTTTACAGTCAACCACTGTTATCTAATGACATGGGCGTAACAAAGAAATTTTCAGGGGGGTACTCCATATTTATAATTGCCCAGAAGCTCCATAACATTAAGTAGGAAATCCAAGAGTATTTCCGAGTCTAAAAAAACGATTCAAGTTATGAAAAAATTGTTGTGTACGATGCAGAAAATTGTTTTTCGCTACATTTTAAAAGTCACTGCCTAATGGGATGGAATATTTGGAAGGACCTTTTAGGCTCAACATTGCCTACCAAATTTATTGCACCGTGGGTAATGCGGGTGATGGCGTTGCATAATATTCATTTCATTTCACATACCTGTACTTTCAATGGATCTCCAGATATTCTCAAAGGTTTGTCCATCCCCGTGTTCTGTGTGGTGTCTTGAATCAACATCATTTTTACACCGATGTTTTGTTGAAGCTATGAAGTAAAAATAAGAATTAACTTTTTATTATTTGCAACAAATAGATATAGCGCAGCGGAATAGCTTTGCGAAGGATATAAGTACAAGATTATCATGTCAAATTGTAATTTTTTTCGTTTCTCGTACAAACTCAACACCTAGGAACACATTTTCAGTGATTTGCTTCACTTAATCGTAAAATATTTTTTTTAATAAGCCAGTTTGGGAAATTAGTTTTTTTTTTATAAACTTTTAAAAGGATTATTATAGCCTCAATTTGTCAACATTTTGAATCAATCCATATTTGAGTTAAATATGAAGTACGAAAATTCAATTATATTTAAAATAGAGTCATTTCAGCACGGAAAAACTGGTAATCTTTGACGAATACGATCAAAACTGTCAACAGCAATCTAGCCAATATCTCAAAGACTCGAAATGACCAATTCCCTTGAGAGATTAACTTTAAATTGAAATATGGAGATCTATCTTTATTTCAATTGTGTCATGTCAGCACAGCTCAAACAGCAAATAGCATGGACACCAATATCCAATTAACACGATCGAAATGCCCAATGGTCTTAAAATAATTTTTTTAATTTTATTTCAAATGCGTCTTTTCAGCACAGCCCAAATTGCCAACACCAAGGATATCCAATTAACACCGATTGAAATGGCAAACTTTTAATTTTATTCCAATAACATCATTTCAGAACAACACGGCGCAAGCTGGTAACAGTGTCGATGACACCACTATCCAATTAATACCGCTTGAAAAAGCCAACAGCGATCAACTTTTCAAGCATACCACAAAGAAACACCAACTCAACATACCGATTTGATAGTCTCTCCACCTTTTCCAATAATCAATCCACATTTATCTGGAGGAATCATAAGTTGAACAACTGTCTGGGCACCTCCTCCACTCATTTCTTCAATTCCTGCAAAAAAGTAGCCGATGAGATGATTATAAAAATATCCATTGTGTCCATATTGGCAAAAAAGTTTTTTTATCGACAGAAACCTGCCATATAGAATAAGTCTACATTTATATAGTGCTTAGGACGCGGGTCTGCATCCGTTAGAAAGAGCCATCTGGCATCCATTCCATCAAACCTACTTGGAGACGCAACATCTACTTTTGAAGTAATTGGTATTAAAACTCATGAAAAACCACTTATGATGCAATAATCAAGCTCTTAATTATCACTAAGAAGATGCCAAATGGAATATGAATGATAATGTTAGTATCATTGGTTGCTACAGCGTATCTACGCGAGTACTCCCGTAAAAAACGTCATTACTCGCGTCCAGCAGTACACGAGAGTCCGAGGCTATTTTTTCCGCAGCCTCTCTCTCTTTATTCTTTAGTTTTTCATTCTGCAGAGATCCCAAACAACAAGATCGCAATGCATAAGAAATCTGCGTGATTGCCTGAACGAGCGATTTTTCAGATATAGAAGAACAAGAAAACATTTTGAGTAAGTTATCATGGCTGTACCCTGAAATCTTGATGTCGGGATTAATGAGTCCGTCCCTGAATATGGCAATCAAGATCTTTCACAAGTCTTTGAGTACTTCAAAGTACCTCTACACGCAGCTGGGTGCGAGAAGGGTGCATGCTTGAAAGAATGGGATGATTTGAAGTATGACGTCCAGGGAAATGAGGTTTACAAAGATTTGAGCACTACCGACTTTTGGCACAAGTTGCACCAGCGAAAGAAGGAGGCGTATAAAAATTTGTGGATCGTTGTCGAGTTAGTGCTTTGCTTACCATTCTCAAATGCTGTTGTCGAAAGAGGGTTCAGTTGTTTACGGCGAATTCTCACTGATTGGCGATCACATCTCGGACACAATATGATAAAAGATCTTATATTAATTGCCACGCGAAAAGAACAGTTCGAAGACAGGGCCATTCGAGAAAAATCTGGTCAACAAGGCTTCCGCCCGATTTATGGGAAGCGATGGGACGTCTGAACGAGGTCTCGTGAAACGACGTATAAATTCAATTTTAGGGGGGTTGGAAACAGCAAAGCCCAGCTTGGTACAGCCTCAACTAATAAACATCGACGATAGCTCGTCGGAAGAAGACTAAAACTGTGATATGTGAACCTGAAAGCGTCTCACGCATTTCTTTGTTCGTCGACACAATTTCTAACCTTTCTTTTTATACATTTTAAATGATGCGAAGTCGACGGGCGACGGGATTAGCGTTTAATATTCAATTTCGTTCTTTCTGTGCGATGTTTATTTTGCATGAACTCATCTGCTACATGCGAACTTATTTTATAGATTTCAGTTTGTACGGCAAATGTCAGACTGCATGAATGGTTGTTTATTAAAAAAAAAAAAAAACAGACGATGGCAACGGCGACTGCCGTTTATTAAAGTTCCTCCTTTTATTGTGCAAAACTTGAGTTATTATTTTCTTTGTAGGGTAACATGTTGAGAGTTATTCACAGTCCACAGTTTGCAGCAAAACCTGCAAAATGGTTGGTTACCCCGATCACGCAGCTACCTTGATTAGTATTTAATGAGACGCTCGCAAGTAGCAATATCGCAGAACGAGGGTACCGACGGAGTAGTGTTTATCGAGCGAAAGTAGGTGTGTAGATAGTGTGTGCGTAGATATAATTAGACACATTGACTCGCGCCTGACTCGCGTAACATTTTCCTGGGACGGGAGTATATGTGACGTCACTATGACATCATTGAATCTTTCGAATCCCGTTAGGAGGTCGACGAGAGTATGCCTAGATTCTCGTTTTCGGGCGCGGATTTGCAAGCCTGTGAGAGCTATGAAAAGTCACTCACAGGCTCTTCACACAATAATTTAATATTTTGTTTTGTTCTGTAACATTTTGCCTGAGAAAAGCAGACTTTCTTTATTAAGCTGTTTACAACAATAATCAATCAATAATATTTTAAAAATGGAAACAGGATAGGAAGTTTTACTTTTCCTCTCTTCAATTAGGTAAAAACAATAAATAGATATTTCATTATTACCTGCAACATTGTTTGGTCCTCCCATACTTGCTTTGTTAACGACATCTTGAAGGTGCTGGCGACATTGCCTGAATAAAAAGATGCAAATTAAGTAAGGAGAAAATACCTACCTGGTTTTGATCACTCATTGTGAGGAGAATCACTCATAACGATCTTCTATTTTGTATTCATAATCAGTAGTATTTTGATATTATAGGCACTCCAGAAGTATGTGTACCAATATGGAGGTAACTAATTTGATTCGCCTACTTAAATGGAGTTGTGTAAAGGGACTGAAGCCTATGGGCAGGGGGTATATTCACTTGGCTAACACAGACAGTACCAGAACCCGTCATAGAATAAACTAAGGAAAATCGGAAATATCATTTTGCATATAAATAATGAAATTTTAAAAACTAAATTCACATACTGTGTGGCCTGGCCCTATTTGATCGCATTTCCTGTTTTATGGAAGTTCATATGAAATCAGGCAGACACTCGTCTACACAGAGATATTAAATTTCCATTTATACACACAGGGACACACATGACCTAAGCTAAAAATGACATATTCAGTCTAGGATTCGTTTACATCGCGATGCAGATATCGATATTTAAACAGCTAGACGTCATTACAATTATTCAGTAATCCGATTTACACATTTTTGGTACTCCCGTAATACGTGAACCAAGATGCCGGACACCTAAACATGGTATGTGCACCATGTCAGGGTTTGGCGATAATTTTATTCCAATTTTCCTTATTTTAGTTCTATTACGAGTTCGGGGTCTAGCTAAGTGACTCCCGTAGTATTTGTACCTGAAATTATGACCTAACCCCAACCTGGTCCGCCATCTTGGTTCACATACTGGGGAGTACCCATTTTTTCAATCAAATTGCCTGACAAATAATAAAAATCAATATAAATACCATATCTTATTCATACAATTTCTCAGAATAAATTGGTTGCAGTCACATCACAAATATCAGAAGCAAGACTGGCAAACAACCTATATCATCATTGAAGAAATATCTGTAATGAGTTGCCTACTCCTACCTTTTAATTACTAACAATCAAATCATCATAATTAATAATGATAGTGATTAAATTAGGGATAATTGGAAAAAATCGTAGTCAAAAATGACAAAGAACCTGTGCACTATAACATAATACCCGAGAGTCGCATTTGAAAGTTAGATTTTCAAAATCAACATACCGTCGTCTGCCTGATCAAACTGAGTTGCAAAAAATGCTATTCAACTATAGGACTCAATTTGAAACTTTAATTAATTAATCACTTACTGCAGGGGTCGGCAACCTTTTGTCGCTCGCGGGCCAAAATTAAAGGTTGCAAGGTATTGGTGGTCCGCACATATTTTTAGAAAGTTGAATGAATCACATATTACAACACAGATCAGAAGTTAAATTTTAAGCAGCGCGCGAAGACTGATCATTTGAATATTTTATGCGCCATCAATCCATTTGCACTTAGCATCAACTTCCCTGCGTTTTGTTGCCATTTGTCTAAAATTATAGGCTCAATAAACGAGTAATTGTGAATTATATACTTGTTGCGTTATAATATAATTTAGTCTACACGTAATTTAGTCTACTTTTGCGTAAACAATATAATCGACAAAACAAGTTATAATTTGTTACTATAATTCAGTGAAGTGGCGCGGGCCGGATTATATTGCTACTATATTGCCGGATCCGGCCCGCGGGCCGTAGGTTGCCGACCCCTGCCTTACTGTATTTGTTCAGGAGTGCCGGTGAGTGTGCTAGGTTTAACCTGGTACACATACTACGGGAGTAACGATACAACTGAGTTACAAAAAAACATATTAAGCTATTCTAACTTTGATGCTTCGTTTCAAACATTCCAAAGACTTAATCACTTACTGTATTTGTTCAGGAGTGCCGGTAAGTGTGCAAGGTCTGTCCTCCATCCCCGGCTGGCAATCTTGTGCGATCTGTATTCTGCATCCCGTTTCTAACTGAAGTCTTGTGATATTGTCGCCACCTTTACCTATAACTGAAGTTGAATATAAAATTAAAATTTGCACAAAAGTTTATAAAATAAACAGTCTTGTATGTATGGAGGAGACTATTCTTGAATTTACTAAATTATTTATCAAATTCAATCTATGAACAAATGACCAAAACATTTCATGGGCATACTGAGTGTTGTAGACTTAACTACTTAACAAAAGTCTTTGTACAACGAGCAACAACAGGTTGGGAACCACTGCTGTAGAATTTAAATAGCTCTTAGCGCCCGGTGGTTGCCCGTAAACATCCTTCAGTGTCTCGAGTGAGTGCACATGGCCCTGATTCGAGCAAATTATAATTTAAAAATCTAAATACTTGAAAACAAACAGATTTCATGTTCCACCCATTTCCATTCGTATCTCCACGGTAAAGAAGACACAAATCCACAATAGAAGTGAAGAATTTATTCTTCCTCATAAACTTACCAAACTGATGTAAAAGCATCAATCCAGCCTTGGTCAGAGGTTTAAGCAATATCCTAGCAAACCTTTTGCTGAGAGATAAAATTGGGCAGTATTTTATGGACACCATGTATAAAAATATCTGCCGAAGACATTTTTTTACCTCGTCACTTCACAACTATCATAGGAGGATTTCAAATTTCGAATTCAAAGTTTTAACTATATGAAATTAATATTATAAATTGAAATTTATAACAATTTATGTGCCATTTTATTATTTGTATGGCATTATTAATTTTGAAAACAATTAGAAGCTCGAAGCTGGAGCCATTAAAATTTCTGGCTCTCGACTAGGGCTGGGCATTTCGAATCGAATAGTAAATTATTCGAATTTGTTCAGAGCGAAATTTCGAATGGCCGCCATCTTGTTTTATCCTTTCTGCCAATGGTTGAGTTATATTTTTTCAACAAAATTCTGACATATGACTCTTTGTCGTAGTGCGTTATTGATGAAAACGTGCTTTTTACTATGTGTGAACGTTCTGCAATCTTTCTGAGTGATGTATTATACATTTCCAGTAATTTATGTGTCGGACCCAATACAACAAGTTATATATCTCCCAAGTATTCGAGGTTCAATTCGAAAAAAATATTCATTTCGATTCCGAAATCATCAGGTATTCGAAAATGCCCAGCCCTACTACCCAGCCTTGGTCACAGGCACAAATAAATGTGCTCCCAGGATAAATAAAAAGTATCTCAAATGTTTAAAGAACTTACTTAATCCAACCAGTTTGTCTGGCAAATTGAAGTTTTCTGTCATTGTTGGCCTGAAAAGATGAATTGGGAAAATAACGTAAAATTGGCTTCACTTAAAGAGTTGACCTTTTGCCTTCATTTCATATCCCTACATGTTTACAAGCTTTAAAAAGCACAAAGTACACATTAATGAGCACAAAATTGAGTTTAATTCAAAAGCAGCATTTTTTGTGTAATGGCGCTGAAAATGTTTGGGAACCACTGTACTATGCAATAAAAGTTAAAAAAGCGTTGAGGGGCAGCCCACAGGCATCATTTTGTAAATTTGTCCTCTATTTATACCCCATAATCAAAAATATCACTCAATCAATTGGCGCGACGGTGTGGCTCAACGGGCTAAGCATTAGGAATACGCTTGCCACCGCACCTCCTATTACTCTGCGTGGGTTCGCAGGTTCGAATCCCATGCAGGGATGGTTATGTGCGAGAGGATTGCTGGACTCCTCGCCGTCGTTGAGTGGTTCACGTAACCGCTGGTTGGTTACGGCTCCCTCCACCACCAAGTCTATGCTTCCGAAAAACACAAACAATAACTAATCCCATACCAGACTTGGAATGGTAACCGGACGAGAGGCCGTGGTTCGCCATATGAATAAGCCGTCTTATCGACTTTCCTCTCCCCCTGGGATAAATATGTAAATCCTATCCTATCTTATGCAATAAAGGTTAGGTCGTTTAGAGCCGCAAAAAAATTAGTAAAACAGTGGTTGGCAAACTGCCGCCCGTTTGTCAATCAAAAATATCACTCAAGAAAAAGGCTGAGTATTGGGTTATCAGTTTTATCCTACATTTCACAGATTGTTCCACCCATTTCCATTCGTATCTCCACGGTAAAGAAGACACAAATCCACAATAGAAGTGAAGAATTTATTCTTCCTCATAAACTTACCAAACTGATGTAAAAGCATCAGTTCAGCCTTGGACAGAGGTTTCGTCTATTCGATATTAGTAAATAAAGTAGGTTTGTCACATTGCGCAAGACAAATTCACAAAATTCTGGGATAGAGAAGTGTGCTGTATATACTCACATAAAAGGCAACCAAAAAAACGGCCCTTAAACAGGGAATTTATTAGAATTCGCATATAAGCTAACCCTACAACAAATTGTAACACGCCATGCGCCTATCACAACAAATTTTTTAGTGTGATCAGAGTTATGCGCGTTTAGGTCGGCTCCCTAGTTTAGCATTTTTTTTGAGGAAATTTGAACTCTGCTTATATGTGAGGATATATGGTAAGTAGAACACTTATTAGCACATCAAAAAATACTTATTTCCTTTCAAACCAAAAAACTTTTTTTATTGCAATAGAATGAGATTTGCTAATGTCTAAATTTTTCAGAGATAGAAATTTATTTAGCTTAACCATTGAAGAAAGGTGTCAGAAAACCTAGAGCAAAGTTCCCAAAGTTGATGGACTAGGGGTCAAAATCAGAAAGACATTAGAGGGCCATTGCCGGTATGTATGATTTAATTGTTACAGAGATCTGAGTACATAAACTGTTATAATGACTTGACAATCGTCGGTATCTAGATTCTAGAACGCAAAAAAGTAGAAACCTAAAGTGCTTAACTATTTCACTCAAGTTGGGCGGGCCATATCAAATCCTTACGTGGTCCGCAATTGACCTGCGTCGCACTTTTGGAGTTCATGGCATTGCTATTCCAACTAAACTAGAATTACAAATTAAACAAAAACCTTCTTACCTTCCTTGTTGATTGAGTTGCTGATGCATCGCTCCTAGCTGGGCATTAACTGTAAGAAAAAGATGAATTATATTTCTGCAGACCAAATCAAATTTCGTTCCATGGAGAACAAAAAGTAGTGCATTGAATGATATTGTGATGTTATAATTAGGAACAGCTCAACGACACTATGTGTGATTCTTACATTATACAGGCCAGAGTAATAAAAAGATGGAATATATCAAAGTTCCGTTCCAGAGAGAACAAAAATGAGTGCATCAGACAGGGATGGCCATTTCCGAATACTAAACTATTCCGAATACATTCTAAAATAATGTTTTAGAATCTGGAATTCCGAATACATTCTAAAATCGAAAATAACACATTTTTGTTTTAGTTCATAAAAACCCAGTAAATTAGGAAATGAGCTTCAATAGAAATATCAGAATAAAGCCACAAACCAACAGTATATGTACACAAAGTAATTGATAGTTTATAGCTATCAATAAAAAATAATAGCAACTCGTGACACAGTCAGTTTATTGAAATTATTAAACTTTGTACAAATGACCATATGAAAAGATAGCCAAGGAGTTGTCTGAAGCTTTCTATCACTAGTACCATGATATTACGATAATAGTCAAGTCTATTGACAAAAATACTACTTGTATTCAGATAATTGTGTATATTTTCTAAGGGTAATAAAATTTATTATTGGCAATACAGGCAACAGCAATCGAAAATCCATTATGCCTTTAAAAATTCTAATATTTAACCAGTATATTTGTATATTAATTTATGTGAACCATATTGTTATTATGCGTAACATATTGTTGTGTTTGAAATTAGAAATAAATTAGTAGAGGATAGATGACCACCACTGCCAGCCGCGCAGCCAGGATTTTCGAAATCGGAAATTCCCATTGCCGCCTGTAACACTCACCGCGATTCCGCGCTCTTTAAAAGAGTCGTCTTTTCAGCGTATAATGATTGTTCTGTTACGTGAAATATTCAATCCATGACAACTACGAGATTCTGAATATATCTTTATATATTAATTTAATGTGTCCAGCGTAACTCGCGGTTGCTTCTTCTTACGATTCGGTCCACGGCGATCTGTGACCTAAAATTACGAGATAAACTGCCCGATGTATTTAATTTTAATACGTATTTTTACAATCTTGCCAACTCGTTATCGCCGTTAAAAAAATCTCAAATAATGTTATAAAATCCTGGTGAGTGTAGAGTATAATTCATTTCATACAATGAATATACATATAAAGTTTAGCAGTAAATTAAAAATACATATTCATCGCCGCGATTATGCCAGAGTCGACTTTTACAACAAATAATATAACAACGAATATATATTTTTCTGTTGTGCAAAGTGATATATTCGTGACCGATACGGCCATATTTAAAATGTCTTGTTTCATTAATTTAATTGTCTTCAATTTCACCTGCGGTTGCGTCGACAAAACAAAATCCTCACCACTCTTATATACCATCCGCGGTCATAAAAATACAAACGTGCGGAAAACTGCCCGATAAAATTATGTTTTGATCTGTATTTTGCGAATTCGGCAAATATTCAGATGTACTTGTTAACAGTGACTCCGCTCAATTGAAATGCTGCCACTCTGATTATTTTTAGTTAAAACCGTTCGAAAAATCAATAAATATGCTGTAACATCTCAGAGTAAAATTTATTTCATCACAATAAAATTGATTGAATATACTTTAGATTAATTATATTATATACATCCTCTCAACCCGGGAAAAAGTCGCGTTTCAAACCTTGTATCGTGTTAACACGAAAATATTGGATGGCAATTTAAAGTAATGGATAATCAGGCAAATCCCGCCCTCAATTCGCGACGATGGCACACAAAATTTTGCGATTTCACTGCCTAGAAAAGCGTTTTTTAAATTTTCGCTGGCATCAATAAAACTTATTTTGTTTACGGTTTTATTTTCAATATTTCAAATTGCCGCTATTCAATCAAAAAGTTGCGTCGTCTTTAGAAACTCGCCGCTGATGAACGTACCAGATTCACAATTCCGTGCGCGTACAAAAATAAAATAAATGTTAGAGTTATCTTGGAACAAATTTGCGGAAAATTTTCGTTTTAGAGAAAATAACACAAACGTAAAGGCGTTTACGGGCCTAAATAACACGTTACGCTGATGAGTGATGAATACAATCACGCGCAAGTTTCTATCGAGAATGTTTTCATTCAACGGAAACGTCTTGAAAGCGGCGTCGAAAATGTGTGACGTCACACAAATATCCGATATTCTTATGAACGCTAATTCCGATATTCGAATGACGAGATATTCGAATACATTCGAATACTTTATTCGAATTGGCCATCCCTGGCATCAGATAATATTGCGATGTTATAATTATGAAAAATTCAACAAAGCTATTAGCGATTCTTACATTTATACAGGTCAGAAAAATATTTAATACCAAGATTTTTATATGCGACACTTTCCATGCCTTTTGCTCTTATTAACAGGTCCTTATATAAGCAGTCACTGATATCGCACAACTGTTATTCGAAGGATCGATAACTTTCTGCTTTGACTATATAACTTATTACACACTGAGTAAAAGGGGCAGCATGAGATTCAGACTAGAGATGTACAATCTGCGATGTTCACACTTTTATGTGCAAAACACGCCTAACTGTTAGAAGTTAAAAAAAGCAGGTTTGTTTATTAAATTATAACAGTGCGAGTTATTTTTCCTGCAGGAAGTCAAATTAGTCGAAATATTTGAACAAATTGAGGGAACAAATTTTTATTTTTACTGTTATACTGTTGCATTCTTTTCCATTCGTGTCTCCATGGTAGTGAAAACACAAATCCACAATAAGGTTGGCTTCAATTTTCCTCATTAACTTACTAAACTGATGAATGAGAGCACCAGATTAGCCTTGGACAGAGGTTTTGGAATGAGTTTTAAAAACTAGAATATCGGTGAGAAACTGAAGACTTATCGATCGAAGGTTAGGGGATCCCCCAAAACAGTGGTTTACTCCATAGTGACACAGTGTGTCCCAGCACTAATTAATTAATAACTCGCTAATTATAAGACAATCCATCCAAAATCAATGGGCTTCTGATCCGAGCTATGATGAATGCACATGCAAAATTTGGAACAGATTCAACCTCGCTTCTGTGAGATATCGCATGCCTCTAACACACAGACAAACAGACAGACAAATACCTATCAACATACTTTCATATCTTCAGATCGATAAGTAATAAGGACCAACTAAGAGTTTTAACTGTTGTTTGCACAAAAAAAGTTTATAATCAATTCAAAACCAAGAGTTTGTTATTCTGTTATTTTATCTTGAAATTTTTTTTAATTTGAATGTTGTTGAATAAATTCAACGGATAATTATGCTATGTAGACGATTTTTATTTGGCATGCTTCATTGTAAATATCGAAAAACTGTATTGTTTGGACAGCTCTCGTAGCTGTCATTATCTCTGGTGACAAGAATGAAAAGAACGTGCAAGATAACAAGCATACTAAATTGAGACACTCTAGGAAAATGAAAAATTCACAACAACTTACTATCATTCTGCATAACTAATTTCTTGGCACCTGGTTCATCTGAAAACAAAAACAAGATTTTCATATTATCGTAATCCCCAATAAAATTGGTGAATATATATATATATCTTCAGTAAAAAGAATAGAACTTATTTTATCTACTGTGTCCATCGCAAACCCTTAATCTCTACTCTCTCAACAAGGAACGATTACAATCTAAGTGACATGATTACATTCAGGTGGAGAGGCCATATCAGATGTCAAACTGAAGATTTTCAAACATACCAAGAATTATGTTAGCATATAAGGCATAAATGCGAGATCAAACAGTAGGAAATAAAAATACTTTGAACCATGACCTCGAAACAACAAAGCTTTATCATATCTAATTGAAGAAGCCAAATTGTCTAGGACCTCAATTAATTTATTTTATTTAATGGAATACTTCAAAAATTATTTAACAGAATATTTCTCAATTTAAAATATCAAAAAAGAAAACTTACATTACGATACTTATAACTTCACTTATAGGCTTAATAAAATATGCCTCGCCTATACTCCTGTCGGAACTAAACACAGAAAACTAAGCAAGCACAAGCCTTAAAGCACAGCTGCCAACAAGCACAGATAAAACGCCCACCACAGCTCAGTATAAAATCAAAAAGGCATATAGACTGGATACTATATCCAATACCGCACACCACATAGGAAGCACAGATAAGACACTACTTCCCTTTTAACACAATGGAGTGTTCCCATAGAATATTTCTAAAAATATCAGTCAATTTAACAACCATTACTACACTAAATCACTTTAATAAAATAAAAACCCATAATTAATTATCAATGATAATCATCTCTGCACAAAAAATCAGAATCAGAATTTAGAAAAAAACTGAAATGAAGAACACAAGATGGGAACCCAGTTTTCTCCGTATTCAAATAAGGTTATCTAATAAGATGAAATATAATAATTCAATGGAGTTCGATTTTGAAAAAGAACTTTCTCACTATGATTCACATTGTTAAATATTAACGGACGAATTTCACAAACAAAGCCATGAGAAAGGAATGTAATGGCCTACTAGTAGGACACATATTGGTACTCCTGAAGTATGTGTACCAGGTCAGGGTTGGGCCATAATTTTCTCTCAAATTACCTGATTTTAGTACTATTACGAGTTCGTGGACTGTCCGTGTTGGGCCAAGTGAATAACGCCCTGCCCATAGGTTTCAGTCCCTTTACACAACTAGATGTGAAGTACGCTCACAAAATTAGTCATCTCCACATTGGCACACATACTTCTTGGAGCGCCCACATATCTATACTGGCAACTGGCGTTCCAGTTTTAGTTTTGATGCTGAATTATTCTAGTAAAAATTACCCACAGATTGATAATTTGGATTGAGTAGCATATGGCAACTATTATACGCTGCATAACTATCAGTATTTAATTATAATTTATTTTTAAATGCACTATTTTACAATATCCAAGTAAAACATGATTAATAAGGAATAGCACCTCGAATAGCCTTTCTTCAAATTTCTATTTTTTTTCCGGACTACTTCACAATATCCGAGTAAAACATGATTAATAGTGAATAGAACCTTGAACAGCCTTTCCCTCAAATTTCTATTTTTTTGGGAAAATTTAAAAATGAATGTTATGATACATCAGAATATAGAAAGGCCTTACATAAGTTTCTGTTCGTACAGGCCTTACTTAGAATGTGTGAAACACCTTTCAAATACTCTATTTTTGTCCTTATCAAACGTACAGAGTACACAATAAAATTCATAAAACACAAGTTTCAAGGAGTGAAATCTCAGAATAAATTGGTTGCAGTCACATCACAAATATCAGAAGCAAGACTGGCAAACAACCTATATCATCATTGAGGTCTGGGTCATTTCTTTTCAAAACACCACAGGAATTAAAATGTCACTGATCATATCAGAGTTTAAAACCCTCAAAATGCAAATTTCAAATTATAATATAGTCCCAAAAATTTCATCTAAATCGTCATTATTAGATGAACTGTATAATTGTTACTTTAACGTTTATTTGGAATATAATCAGCAATTGGATCGACATGAAATAGATGATGTAAATCTCTACAAAATACCACAATTTGATATGGTAATTTTAGCATAAGAAATAAACTATCTTTTTAAAAACAATATGACAGTATTTGTAGACTTGTAGTAGAATAAAACAATTGAATATGGCACCAAGCTTGCAACTAGGGAGACAATTTGATGTAAAAAATATCTTTTTTCAAAACCGGTAATCATGTATGTTTATAATATGAATCACTCAGATATAAATTATTCCGCAGTTGCAGCGTAATCAAGCAAACAAGCAGCATAATGGCTAACCACAACAAAAATAAATAAATTGATAATACCGGAGGGCTCACCAGCATCTTCTAGTGGACGCTTGTTTGAATAATCTCCCATAGGACCTGGGTTCTCTGGTTGAATCTTTGCTGCAATCTGTAACACAATTTTTAATCTTATTACAGTACGGCACACGTTCCAAATAGAGCGACATTGTCTCGTTTCAGAGAATCCCATTTTGCCAATGAACAGACCCCCCACCCTCTTTTCGGGGACGATTGGGCATTGTTGAACCCCAATATCGATAAAAATACAGTAAAATGAAGTTGCGCAATAAACTACAAGAAAAGCGCAATCTAAAAACGTCATCATTGAATTCCTGGGGGGAAAAATAATCCGATTTAACGTTGGAAAAAATCTTTTACCGTGCCTATTCGAGAGTTTTTAGCAAAAAAAGGCAATTTTGGCCACATGACGAACACGATTAATTTAGATTATTACAGAGACAAGCATGGCGCAATATGACGCATCTGTCGTCGTGCCAGACACCACTCGTTTGTGAGAGTATTTGTTTTATTGAACCAAATGAAGGGAAATTCTTGGAATAAAATTAATTATTGTTGGAATTAGATTATTGGAATATTGCAAGTAAATCGGCACAAGTAATTATTATTATTATACCCTAGCTATATAGCAAAGCAGGAAATTGCAAAAATAGTGCAATAACGAGTCTTCGCCGTGAGGTGTACTTCAACGACTTCTTGTCCAGAATACGCCGATTGAGATTATAGTGTTTGATGTTTACCGATTTTACGTTCGCGAGCAAACGCAAGTTTAATTAAGTGAACGAGAGCGATTTCCACGCGAGAAAAAACAACCAGAGTTACAAAAATTGACGCATGGCGAAAACGCAAAAATGATGCAATAACGAGTCTTCGCCGTGAGGTGTACTTCGCCGACTTCTTGTCCAGAATACGCCGATTGAGATTACAATTACAGTGTTTGATGTTTACCAATTTTATGGGTTCTTTGGGAGCGGACGTAAGTATAATTAAACGAGAGAGATTTCCACATGAAAAAAAACGCGCGTCTTCAATTGATTTCAACCTGAAATACAAAAATTGATGCATGGTGCCGGAGAGGCGGAAACCGAATCCTGTTATCGAATCCCGTTGGATTCGAATACTTTGGGTTTCGAATCCTCTGGATTCGATATTCTATATTGCCCATCCCTAAGTATTATAACTAGGGCTGGGAATAGTTGACCGGTTAACCGATTTCAGATGGTTAACGGTTAGGATTTATTTTAACCGTTAACTGACATCTCAGGTACAAATCATCTTCATAACGTACAATATCGTCAAATATGAATCCGTCATCGCAAATTTTTCTCTTGCTGCGTTTAATTAAAAAAAATATTACTAACTGTGTGGGTAAGGAATCAATAAATGTGAAAATTAATGGAAGTACCAAGGTTGCTGATAATGAAAATTTACAATGATGAATTCAGAATCAGTTTTCGGTCAATTTCGAAATATATTGTTCACGATTTCATTGGAAAATCGGATATTCAATGTCATACAACAAGTGTGCAGTTGATGCCGTTTTTCTTTATGATATATATCTCGAAGAAGAATTTGCACATTGAACGCTTAAAATTTGTCACATAAATAACGTTTAACAACGGAATCGGGTTTTCTAAAATATTTCCACATGCCCGAACCACGCTGCCTATCTTTTGCAGCAGAGGAATCATGAAACTGTCTCGATTCGTGAATAATTTTGAGCGATACAGGGATGCGGAATTGCTTAAAACCATTGTGACGAAACAAGCTGAAATTATAATTATCACGTCAAACGTCACGCGGCGGTTAACCGGTTAATTTTACCCGATTAACGGGTAAAGTGTTTTCCCTGAAATTCCCAGCCCTAATTATAACTGATATTGAAGGACAACCATGTCCAGACGTCTCCCAAAAGAGGGGTAGGGGTGTCAGATCATCAGTAAAATGGGTTTCTCTGAAACAAGACATTATCACTTGTTCTGTATAGTGTGCTGTACTGTGTGTATTAAAGCAAATAAACACATGCATAGAGGCAAAAAAAATTGAATAAACATATAGGCATTTCACAACTGTTTACTGCATTACTGTGTATAAAGAACAGTTGAGCAATTTTCAGTAAGATTGCATTTTTTGAATGCTATTCTCGCGTATAATTCATGATTAAAAAAATTTTCAAGTTTTGCTTGCTCTCCAGAATTCTATATTTTTTATTGAACTTTCAAAACGAACCGCCTACTAATTAATGGGTATAGCTATATATTAAACTATATTCCATACAACAAAAAGCAAAGCAACCACAAACTAAACCCTGAAATCCCCCAACATTTATTCTGGAATCAGGAAATCGCAAGCTCTGGAATAACAGAATCGAATTAAAGCTGTTTCAGTGACAATATTCTATCGACTTAGAGAGAAGAATATGGCAACCAAGTTGCTACATCATCAAGTCATATAAATCCTGTTATAAATACCAATAAAAGAAAAATAAATAAATGCTAAGACTGCAAAAATCTCACCTCTCGCGCTCTTTGTAATGCGTCAGCGTATCCTGGTGCTGAACCCTGAGCGTCTCCAGAAGCATTGCCAATCACGGCGGCCATTTACTAAAATCTTCCCCGCTTGATAAGAACGATTTTTTGAAAAACGTTCAGGGAGAATATTAATTTATTCAGAAATCAGAGAAAGCCAGAGAGCAGCGTGGTTTGCCCAGTAGAAATAGGAGGCCGCGTTTTCAAAAGAGGGCAATTTACGAAAAAGGCAACGAGAATACAAATGGCGTACCCACGTGATCATTGCATTGTGGGTAATTTCAGTCTCAAGTAAAAAGTGAGATAAAGTAAAGAGAATAAAAATGACTGAGCAGACGATAAGTGGGAACGCGGGTAATCTACTAAATCAAACAAACGTAGAATCGACTGCGGGTTCGTATGTATGTAATGCCAATTTTAACACGGTTGAAATATTGGAGCTAAAGGCTTAATGGTGAAAGCCCCCGCCACTAATGCAAAAATGTTGAATATGAGAAAAACACCCCCGCCACGGTTTAAGTACTGCAAATTGCGCTCGCAACGTTTTAAGTTATTGCGTGTTTGCCACGTTTCGTACTGCAGATTGCGCTAGAAATACAGGTTTCAGAGACATTCAAGTTTTTATTTCATAAAAGCAGCGTGAGCATGAATTTGTTTGAATTGTCAACGCTGATACACGACAAGAAATCAGCTATCATATTCTTGCAAGACCATGGGATACTCCATGAGCAGCGTCGTTGCAGCAAAGATCACTTGATGACACTTTCTTTTACGTCTGACAGGTGGAGATGCAATATTCGTGGGTGTCGCAAGGAAATCAGCATTCGAAAGGACACGTCGCTTCAAGATTCGAAACTAGACTTTCGCAAAATTGTTCTGTTTATTTATTGTTGGACAAAGAAATTCACGACAACTGATTTTTGTGACGAAGAACTAGGAATCTCATCTCACACTACAGTCAACTGGAAAAATTCCCTGCGAGAAGTGTGCGCTTGGAGTTTATTGCAAACTCCTACTGTGATTGGCGGAACCGGATTGCATGTTGAAATTGATGAAGCACTTATTCCCCAACGAAAGAATCACACTGGACGAGTCCTTCTACAGAAATGGATTTTGGGCGGGATCTGCAGAGAAACGAAGGAAGTATTCATTTACGAAGTACCCGACAGGGAGAAAGAAACATTAGAGAATGCGATACGTGCTTCAGTAGCCCCTGGATCTATCATCGTCGCTAACATGTCGTTATCGCTCACCGGAATTGAAGAACATCCGGACATGAACTATACTCACCTAACCAAACGTGGCACTCACCGTTCTATGGTTGACCGTAATCTTTGTGAATTTATGTGGCGCACGAAATTTCGCGAGTTAAACCTCTTTGACAAAATATTGGCTGACATCGCTAAATTCCATCAATTAACGAAAATTTCAACTGGAGCTGGGGCGGTGGATTTCAACAAAGATCCAGATTAACTACATCATTATTTGCTCTCGAGCGCCTCTCCGGAATATTTTTATATATATGTTTCAGTGCGCCATGCTTCTACAGTTGAAGCATAAGGTGAAGTTATCACAGTTGGTGATCACAAGAGAGATTTATTGCCATAAAAACAAAATCAACACTACTATAACATATTACAATAAAGGAAATATTTCAGCAGTAATAACAGTGATTGATTATTGTTATGTGCGGGTCGGTGTGCAGGACCGATACAGATCATCTAGGATTCCGACGCTTATAATGTATATAAGCTCATCATGGCGTAGTATAGTACCATAGGTAAATACCTTCGTGTATTCGATCCCCAATACTTGTCCAATAAATATTTAATTACAAAAACTGTGTTACAAATTATTGTAAAAACTAATCTGTGGAAATTTGTCCTGATTCTATGGATCTGTTCGGAATCAAAAATCTCCGCGTGAACCATTAATATCACGACTTGCACTATTGACCTTAAAATATGAAATTGCTGACTCACACATATACATTATATTTATATTTTATCCAAATTTCATGGGCGATACTATATCTGATTGATTTCTAATAAACAACATGGGCCAGGAGAATCGACCGGTCTTTACTACTGACCCTCACAAAAAATGATCAATTAATTATTGGTAAATTAGATTTTTCTCTGCTTCTTCAAATGTATCATAGTGTTGACATTATTTGTGATAATGAAATCTCCCTCTCTGGTGCGACTCTGATGACCACATGGAGTATCCCACTCCAACCTGGAAAAACATTATTACCTATTTCTTTATTTTTATAATTATCATCATACTTGTTATATTATTACTGTTTTTATTTTTCTCGTTTTCTAATAATAAATCTCTCTCATACGAGCAAGTAAATTAGCACAATTAACACCCTCAGTTTATTTAGACCAGAGGTGACGAACCTGCGGCCCGCGGGCCGCATGCGGCCCGCCAAGGACTTTCGTGCGGCCCACGAAGCATTCAGACAATTCAGTGTATGTTAAGCGTGAAGTCACAAACCTCCAAGAACTGTACAGAGAGAACGGAAGCACAAGTGTTACCGTATTCATATTACTGGCTACAACACTATTTCCAACACATCTATTTTTTGGATTATCGATACCTCTAACAATGGATCAAAATGACCATTGTCGTAGCATAGTTACGCTCTCTTATCGGCAAACGCATACGGTTTAATGGAGAAGGAGTAATCTCACTTTATCAAATGTGATATTTTTGTGCACTATACACGTGATATTTGAAAGTAATAAAAAGTTTATAACTTCTGCTCAATGATTAAAACAATGGTAGATCTCAAAAAAATGCCTATGTTTTAAAAATCAGTTAATCGTAATTAGAGGGATTCGTTTACAATTTTTGTATCCGAAGGCCTGCGAAATACGGATCTTTTGTACAAAGCCTCCATCGCTAATGCAAAAATGTGAAATTAAAAAAAAACCACTACGTTCTGAAATAACAAGTTAGCAACTATCCAGTTGCGGTTCGGGTTAGGAGTGATTTGAGGTTTTGAATTTCCGACGCAATCTGGATTCTTAGCCCCCACCCACCCTAAAAATGTAATTGAATTATTTATAATTTACATTCAATTTTGAGCGGAGGCGGTGGTTTTTTATAAGGAATCTTTGTACAAAGGATCCCGAAATACTTTTCTGAGGCATTATCAACTAGAATTTTGCTTATTAACGCGACACAAAATGTCATGAATTAAGATTCGATAATGCGTAGGTTGATATTATCATTGGGGGAAAAGGGTAAATCGTAACGAATCCTTGAATTTTTATGCAACTGTCGACGCAATTAGGCAGGTTACTCGTGAAAAGAGCCCACTTTTTCGACGGATAATGTTTTTTACTGTTATGTTATGTTGTCGTTTAGCGATTTTGCAGTTGTGCAAAATATTTCATTGGCGACAAATAGGAGTATATTTTTAATATATTGCTTTCTTACTTTAATTGTGTGTTTCATGTAACATGCGGCTGCGTCTACAAATTAAGAACATTACTATAATGAAATATCACATCAATCCACGGCTATAAAAAGTGTTTCCAACTGCCAGATTATATTTAGTTTTGATCCATATTTTTGCGATGTTACGAATTAGTTATACAAATATGATGTTCTTGCATCACTGACTGTCTCTATCACTAGATATTTATATCAACGTCCGAGAAATCCCTAGATCTGCTATAAAATATCAAAGACTACAATTTATTTCAATCAGTACATTAAAAATTGATTTTGCATTAACACGCAGGTAGTAGACTCAAACTTTCGTGTTAAAAATGCTGTGGTATTCGAATGGAAATTCGGATCTCGAACATCCGAGCCAAGCGTTTATATTGCCCTATATAATTGAATAACATCAGCTGTATGGATGCCGTTGTACGTTTTGTAGATGAAAATCAACAGGTATCATACGGTAGTACAACTAAAAATTGTGCGGCCCGCTCACTCACGGTGACTGATAAAGTGGCCCGCGACCGCAAATGGGTTCGTCACCCCTGATTTAGACTCAGCATAACAGACGATGAAATGATGTAAATTTAATGCGATCAAAATTCGATAAAACACTGCTGCTGGTATATATTTATGATAAGACTCGGTATATCAGCACAAAAATAGGTTACCGGATACTAATTTTTAGTTGGACTTGTGTGTGGTATGAAAGTATATGGCGTTTTAAACAATTTAAGTCTTTTGCGCCAGACAATGTATATATATGCCTATCGTACTCTCTTGGTAGATTTCACAAAATCAACAAGAGCTGGAAAATGCTAGGGTCGCGTAAGATAGCTTTGAGTTGAAAATCAATGCCATAATCGCGGCATTTCATCTGTAGTATGCGTCTTTCATTTTTATATGCACGACAGTTAGTTAGAAAATGTACTACTGTCTCTGGAACATTACAGAAATCGCAAAGTTCATTATTATGGCATCCTATTTTATGGAGGTGCCTATTTAAACGGCAATGTCCCGTCTGAAGTCGAAATAAAATTTTGTCTATTATTCGTGGTGACCAAGTGGAATTCTTGATGTTGTCTTCAACTGAGGAAAATAATTGTCTTGTAATAAAACGCTTGGTCACTGTGTATAAAATGTTGATCCCATTTATTAGCGCAGAATTGTCGAATTTGTGATTTGACTTTGTTTTGTGATTGGGATAATCTTTTGTCCACATCGACTTTCGCGGCTGATATCTTTGCTATTTTGTCGGCGACTTCGTTACCCGGAATACCAACATGTCCTGGAGCCCATAGTAGTGTGATTTTGCATCCTTGTTCCTGATTTGTTCGAATAGTCCCCTTTTTGTTTGAACTTGCGCTAATTTGTTTATTGGACACGTTTAGTGGCCATAACGATCGTTTCAATATTATGTTGTTGTTGTTGTTGTTCATGTTCTTTGACACGTTTTTAAAAAATCGCTTTTCTCTTCGAATACTGGACCAATTGCTTTGAAATTTTCAGTGGTTAAAGATTAATTTCTTCGCTAGAAGGCTATTACTTTTATTTATTTCAAAATTTTGCGTGAATTCTATGAAATTTGATATTTCGTCTAAAATTTTGCTGTATTATTTTTTATCCATGGGAACACGGATTTTAGTCAGTGTCATGACTGGCTGTACGTTTTGATTCTGCAAAATTCTTGCTACTGGAAATTCAGAACTTTTTTGAGGGTACCGGTAGCGTCAAAGGTACCGGTAAAGACTGAT